CATATGTAGGGAGCGTTCCGGGCAGATTTGAAACTCTCATACGGTGGCCATGACTTGAAGATTCATGCCCAAGCATTGATCACCGTTGTCTAAACATACTACCATGATATAGCGCAACAATCAACGATTACCGTAGTTTATCAATCTGATTTCTAGAACGAGGACCAATGGGTCTCATTTACAGTGCTTTTGGATGACGACGGATTTGAACATCAGGTGTGTGACGCCATGCTGAGAAGCAGCGCAGAAGGGGGCGCACTAGTCATAAGACAGTGATGGGACGAACGACAGATGTGAGTTCCTTCTTGCAGCTCAGAAACTGGGCCTGCAAAAAAGGACAGGAGAGGTCAGACAGGATGTGGAAGGTGGAGGAGAGCTTGAAGTTTGGAGCTTACAGTCTAGTGCGCGATGAGTAGTGCGAGATATGGAAGAGCGTGAGACAGAGTTGTGTGCAATAAAGTGTGCGACAGAGTTTGAGTGATTGACCGAGCGGTAGAGTGTGAGAACGTGTACAATTGAGCGTGAGGCTCCACATCATGACAAGTCATTCTTCCTGCAGCATAGACTTTCTCCCTGTGGATGGAAGGGCATGTGAGGTGAAGATAACAAGGGTGGGCCCACCTGCAGGTAGATGGTGATGTCTAGGGAGAGAGTCCCCATGCTGCCCACCAGCCATGGCAGGTTGCCACTCAGTGCCGCCCTGCCATGCACACCACACACACAAGGGCATCACGCTTCACTTCCAGAGGTTCCCCTGAATGCACTTGCGTTCAGGGCTGAAGAGAAGGGGCTTGGAGCAGAATAGCGTACAGAGAAGGGGCGCGCAGCAGAATGGCAGTGCCGTAGGTGAGGTTGCCGCAGAAGGCGCAGAGGAACATGGCCATGGAGAGCCCCTCTGCTGACCCGCGCTCCGCGTTCTGCCAGATCTGCGACACCCGCGAGCCCAGGTAGAAGCCCGCTGACACCCACCTGGTGAGGGAGAGGTGTGAAGGAGAGGTGGGAGGGAGAGGTGGGAGGGAGAGGTGGGAGGGAGAGGCGTGAGGGAGAGGTGTGAAAGGTGAGTGGGAGAGGTGTGTGCGAGAGGTTTGCGGGAGAGGTATGTGGAGAATATGCTGGAGTGGCCAAGATGCCATGGATGACGGATGTCATGCAACGGGGGATGCACACACCCGAGCATGAGGCCCAGCTGGTGAATGAACTTGCTGGGCTCCTTCCTCCGCCGCTTCCTCTCCGCCCTGCACGCTGCCATCTCTGCATCCCCCTCCTCCCTGTCCCTCTCCCTCCCGCCCCTCTCCCCCGCGTCCTTTTGCTCCTTGCTCAGTCTGTCAGCAAGTGGAAGCACAGGGGGAAGCAGCTGCAGCACCACACCTGCCTCCCTGCCTGCCAAACTGCCACCATCACTCACTGCACTGCCACCATCCGCACGCGCAGCAGCAGCACCGGTCCGGCAGTTGGGGTGGTGGGGATGCAGCAGGCAGAGCGTGCTGTTGCCAGGCCTCGCTCTCCCCACCTCCACACCCGCCTGCTGCTGCCACGCATGCCGCTCCCCCCGCAGCTGATGCCACTGTGCCTGCCTCTCCCTCGCCTGCACTGCCAGCAGCTTCCTCCCTGCCGCCGCCTCTACCTCACCTGTCCCCCACCACGCCCTGCTGCACTTGCCCCCTCTGCACGGACCAGCGCCAGTGGGTAGTGCTGTAAGCGCATCCCCTTGATCTGCAGGGTTGAGAGCAGAGGACGCGAGTGCCAGCAGCATGAGCGAGCCCAGCAGCAGAGACAGCGCCCCCGCCTTCTGCGGCCTGGGCCCTGCTGCCCCTCCACCAGAAGAGTTACCTCCCTCGGATGGACCTTCCCCAGTGGTAGCAGGCACGGTGGCAGCTGCACTTGCTACAGCAGCCGAGGCACCCGTTCCCTCAGCAGCTGTCCCCTCCTGCTTCACGTGACCCCCCTCTCCATGCGGGGCCCCACCCTCACGCCCGTGCCCGCCTCCCGCCCCACCCACGCCTGCTGCTCCATGCCCCTCCCGCCCTGCGCCCATCCCTCCAGCCTGCCCCTGCTCTCCCCCCATCAGGGCTGCAGGGCTGGGCGCGGGGGCAGCGGGGTGGTGGTGGATGGTGAGGCGGGCGTGCAGCAGCGGAGGGCCGTGCTCCAGCCCATACTGCTCCACCACCCGCCGCACCTCCCGCCCGCTGTACGCCCTGCGCCTGCGCCCCTCGCCGCCCGCGCCCTCCCCGCCCTTCCCCCCTTGCTCCTCGAACTGCACTCGCCCCGCCTGCCCCCCGCCCCTGCGTCCCTCTGCTCCCCCTGCCTCGTCAGCAGTCGCACGTCTCCTGCTGCATGCACCCGCCACCCCTGCCCCGCCCGTCCCTCCGCCTGTATTGTCTGACGCCACAGGGAACAGGTCCGCCCGCCCTTCCCCCTCCTCAGCTATCCGCAACAGCCTGCCCCGCCCATCCCCCCGCGCTCCTGCGCCCTGTTCTCTCCGCCCAGCAGCATTGAGCCGCCGACCCACTGCTTTTACTGCTACGTCTTCTTTTCCTGCCACGTCTGCTCTTCCTGCCACGTCCGTTTCTCCTGCCACGTTTGCTTCGGCTCCGACTGCGCCTGCGTCTTGGGGAGGTGGGAGGGAGGGGGGCCGGGGGTCGGAGGCGAGGTGGGGCCCCTGCCAGGCGTGGGCGAGGAGCACAGCGCCTGAGCGGCCAGCCAAGAACGATACCGGGTGGTAATTGTGGTGCTCGTGCCGGTGCTGCTGCTGCTGCTGCTGCTGCTGCTTCTGTCTGTGCACGTGACTCTCATGCTCTGCTGTCGCTGCCGCTGCCCCGCCAGCCACAACCTCTCTATAAGGCAGCTCGTTCTCTAAAGCGCGGATTTCCTCCACAGCACGTCGTAGCTTCCCCTTGGGGGGCGACACTACAGACAGCGCTCTGCTGACCGCCCCGCTGCTGGCGGCATCCGCGTGATCTGCGGGCGCGGCGGGCCTGGCGGACAGGAGCGGGCGGCGGAGGGCGGCGGAGGGCGAGGAGAAGGCGGCGGCGGCTATGAAGCCGTCCTGCTGCGACGGCGCGCGCGACATGCAGTCCGCGTCGAGCTCGAGCGAGTCGCGGTTCTTCAGCTGGTAGTACACGTACTGCGGGGAAGCGCGGTGGGGGGAGGGGAGAGAAGAAGTGGGTTGGGTGGTGGCAAAGGGCGAAAGAGGAGGTAAGGAAAAAGGGGGGGAGGGTGGGAAGAAAGGCGGGAATGCGTAGCTTAAGGCACGGCGAGTCCGCGGCGACAGCTGCGCAGACCGGTATGACTCGGGCATCTGAGTCTCGCACTGGGACATGCGCGCGCGCGGGCGGTACCCGGCAATGCGACGTGCGCGCGGGCGGCACCTGGCACTGCGACGTGCGCGCGCGGGAACGGTGGTACCTGCGCGATGATGCAGCAGTCGGCGAAGATGAAGTAGATGGCGGTGAAGGTCTGCGTGATGAGCTGGCTGCCGGACAGCAGACAGCCCAGCAGATTCAGCAGATCGCCCTGCGCGCACAGGCGGACGCGCACGCGCAAGCACACGCACACGCGCACGGAAACACACACGCACCCGCACCCGCACACGCACACGCACACGCACACGCACACGCACACGCACACGCATACACGCGCAGACACGCACACGCACACGCACACGCATGGAGGTGAACAGAGCATGGGAGGCAAGCACGCAATGACGTCATGGCGTCATCTCCAATACATGTCCCGAACATCACGACCACTCTGTAGCTATCTACACTTGGAGAGAAATATCTACTTCCGTGGGAAGAACTTTGCGCGGAAAGATAGGGCACGAAACGCATGCGAGTGTGGGGGGCCGGAAGCGGCGCGTACGGAGAGCCATTGGAAGAGGAACCAGGGCGAGAGCGCGTCAGCGGACCCGACGCGTATATTCTGAATGAACTGCGGCAGCTGCGCGACGAGCCAGCAGCCGATGGAGGCGAGGCCGACCAGGAAGGAGAGGAGGTCCCAGCGCGAGTACACGCAGTCCTGAAACCAGTCGCGGATCCACTCCACCGCGCCCGCCTCGCACACGCATTTCGAGAGATCCACGCCGTCCATTGCGGCGCGGCGAGGCTAGCTTGAGATGAGGATGACTTCGCGAACGAAGGGAGGGGTGCATGTTCTGGCGGGGAATATGATATTGGGTGGTGATGGACTTGGTCGATTTGCCATGGCTACCACGTCGTGAGTGAGAAATGAGGCTAGGGAACAGAAGAAAGCGTGCGGGTCACTGCCCTTCGTTACCGCCTGCGGCGTTCCTGTCGGCTGGCCATGCAATGGCTGGCAGGAATCGCTGATCAGAAGCTGGGTGCGTCGGCCATGGATTTCATCAGGCTTCAATATGGGATTGACTCGAAACAACTTCCAGGAGGCCTAGGAGGTTGCGGGCGGGTGCGACACAAGTGCCGTCGGTGCGCTGGCGTGCGACGGGATCCACGCGCAAGTCGACCAGCATTGGCCGGAATATCCAACTCGATCCAAGGCCGGATCACACTTGACGAGCGGGGATTTGTGAATTGTCGAGAAATGTGGTGCGCGTGGCGACAGAGAGGTTGCGTATGGTTGGCGAAAGCGGTTTCGTCGCACGTCAGTCGCAGCCAAGGGGATGAGGCGAGCCAACACGAGTAACAAAAGAGGTGATGACGCAACCTTGACTCATGGATTGTCGCGGAGGCCAGTTCTTGTCTGCCACACAAGACTCGTGCTGCCGTGTCGGTTGGAATCGCGATATAACCTCCGAAATGGGTCGTACGATCTGGAAGACGAAGGTATGATAACTGTTTAGAGTAAAAATACCTTTCTATAGTAAGGAATAAATCCCGTAAAAAGACAAATACAAACAGGAGAATAACAAGCCAAAAAGCTACATGACCTTAGTGTCACAAATAAGCCCGCAAATTGGGCAAAAAAATGTGGGCTGGAAAATTCCCTGCACTACTACCCACTGGTCGTGGGAAAAAAATCAGCAACTAAGGATTGGCGAAAAAGCCCAGGCGTCGCTTGTACCGCTTCAGAACCGACGAGAGGTTCTCCTTCCCCTTGGGGAATGCCACATCCCCCGCCACCGTGCCGGTCCTGCCCTTGCGCCCTCCCACCGCCGCCTCCACTTCACGAATGCGGTCGAGGAAAAGAGCAGCACACGCCGGCCCCCGGTGGCCTGGTGGGCCGGGGAAGGGCCAGTTGGGGCTGGCGAGGGGGATCTGCGTGCCCCAGAGGGAGCAGGTGAGCAGCCCCTGGAAGAGGCGCTGTGCTGCCAGCGCTGGCTGCCCCGCTGCCTCTCCAAAACAGGCACACAGCACCGGCACTGGCCGAGGGTGCGAAAATGCAGGGTCCAGAACTCCCTGAAAGAATGCAATTATAAGGAGAGGGGGGACAGATGAGGATGAGAACATCATAACGACAGGTTTTGCTGCTAGACGCAGCACGATTGAAGAAGATGCAGGGATGCGCACTGGGGAAGGAGGAGAGATGGCTGACCTGCAGGTGGTTGAGCACGTAGGTGTATTTGCCCCACAGCTCTGGTCTGCTCTCCAGCTGCGACAGCTCCAACACCCGGTGCACACACCACACCCCAAACGACACCACCAGCGCCGGGCCCCACACACACCCAGCGCCGCACCCCCACACTCCCGCTGGCAGCACCCACTCCCCGTCCCTGCCGCCGCCACTGTGCGCATGCACGTGGTGGGTAGCTGTGTGCGTGAGAGAGGGAGGGGAGATGCGAGCAGAGAGTGCGGAGGAGGCGGCAAGCTTGCGGTCGCGGAGGGCGAGGGCGGCAATGAGGTCCTCGTCGGGGCCGGTGTCGAAGCGGAAGAGCCAGTCGCTGCCCTCCACTCGCAGCAAGCGCTGCACACACACCCGCACCGCCTCCACTCGCGCCTCCTCTGCCGCCGCTGCTGTGGCTGCTCCCATCAGAGGAATGGAGAGCTCGTGCTGCCTGCCCTGCTGCTTCTCCTGCTGCTGCGCCTGCTGTACCTGCTGCATCTGCTGCCAGCCAGGGTTGCTGGTCTGTCCCCCCTTGCTCACAGCAGTAGCGCCTAGCCATTGCTCTGCCAGGTCTGGTAAGTCTTGTGGGGGCATGGCAGGCCCATGCATGCTGCTCTGGATGCCCGCCACATGCATGGTGCTCCACTTTCCACTGCCCCCGCTGCTTGCTGCTGCTGCGCCCCGCACGGCCTGGGATCCATACCCCCACATGCCCCCACTGCCTGTTCGCTGCAGCGACCCCACTCTCCCGTTTGTGAGCGCAGCAGGAGAGGCAGCGTCGCAAAGCCCCAGATGGAGTGGTGCAGTGCGGTGTGGCCTCGTCCCCACCAGCTCATCCACCTGCTGCTCCCATGCACTGCCCATGATGCCCCCTGCACCACAACCAGCACCGCCACCAGCACCACCAGCAGCGCCGTCCATAGCAGTCCCAGCTCGACCCACGCTGCTGAACTCCGCATACTCGTGCTGCAACTGGCTCAGCTGTGCCAGGCTGGCAGCAGCATCCGCCACTTCACTCTCATCAACACTACCATCTTCCACCACTGCAAACCCAAGCGCCCCCACTCTGTGCTCCTGCTGATACACCTGCTGCTGCTGCTGAAAGGGACTCATGCGACCAGAGCCGAGCAGGCCGTGGCACTGCCCTGCCAGCCCGCCATCCCCCAGCAGGGAGGGGGTGTGCGCCCTGAGGCTGAGCCCCCCCAGCAGGTCGCCCCGCAGGTTGGGCGTGGAGCGGCTGGGACCCTCCACCTGCCACACCTGCCCTGCACCACCCACCCCACCGAGTAGCGCACCCCCTGTGTCCCCTCCCACTCCAACGCACATCCCCCCTGCCAGAGCCGAGCTCTGTGCCCCCTGGTTCATGCCCATTTCTGCATCCATGCCCATCCCTGCACCCATGCCCGCGCCCATGCCTGCACCCATGCCCGCGCCCACATAGGTGGGAGGCGGGAGGGAGGAGGGGGGGTCAGGCGAGATGCAGCGGCGGGTGGGGAGGAGGTAGGAGGGGTGCAGCAGAGAGAGCTCGTGCAGGGTGGGCAGGTGGGAGAGCGTGCTGTACTCGCGCCCTGCTGCTGCTGGTAGGTGGGAGAGCGTGCTGTACTCGCGCCCTGCTGCTGCTGCTGCTGACGATGGCTGTGAGGACGAGAGCAGCGACGCCATACCCCCACCCATGCTGCTGCTGTGCATAGTGCTGCTGTGCATAGTGCTGCTGTGCATAGTGCTGCTGTGCATAGTGCTGCTGTGCATAGTGCTGCTGTGCATAGTGCTGCTGTGCATAGTGCTGCTGTGCATAGTGCTGCTGGTGTTGGTGCTGCTGATGCTGCTGATGCTGCTGCTTGGCACGGAGGCGGAGGGTGAGAAGGCGGGGGAGAAAGACGGGGAGAAGGGCTTGGCACTAGCTGATAACAGATGCGAGCCGTGAAAAGCAGACAGGGAAGCCTGCTTCGACACGTAACAGTCCACAGGCAAGCCCATGCCGCCCTGCGATGCACCTCCTGCTGCCCTCCCCGTGCCGCCCTGCCCTGCTGCCCCCAACACACCCTGCGCCCTCCCCTCCCCCACGCCCTGCCCGCGCCCATCCACCACCACCGCATGGCCATGTAAGTCAAAGATCGCCGCCCAGAACTCGTCCAGAATGGCGGCCACCTGCCTGCGCGCCCCTCGCCCCAGCCCACACACGCGTGACAGACTGCCGCTGCCACTCCTGCCACCGCCACTCATGCCACAGCTGCTGCTGCACACGGTGCTGCTGCTGCACGCGCTGATCCCGCTTCTACTAGCATGGCCAGCACCAGAGGAGGAGCAGGGGGCGAGGGCTGGCAGGAAGGAGGGCGCTGACAGATCTGCACACTTTCCCGAGAAACCCTTGCCACCCTTGCAATCAGGCACAGGGCCACTCTCCGGGTCACAGGGCTCAGTGGAGAGACTGGCCTTTCCCTCTGGTGGGTGCTTGCATGAAGGCTTTGCAGGGGTGGTTGCGGAATGGAATGGATCGTCCGGCAACGGCCCCACTGCTGACATCTCCCCCTTCTGCTCCCCTGCACCCGCCCCTTTGCTCCCCTCCTCCCCCACCACCTCTTCCCCTCGTTGCCGCACCGCCACCATCTGTTTCTCCTCCTCTTCTACCTCCTCCTCCCCAGCCTGCCCTGCACCCACCAACCCCCCTCCCACACCAAGCTTCGCCTCCCTGCCCTCTACCGCGCCCCCCAGCCCCTCCTGCTCTGCGCACTCTCCAGCGCCCCCCAGCTCGTCGCCCTCTGTGCTGGCGTGGGGGGCATCTGCAGCGGCCCCACCCGGGGCTGTGTGAGCCTTGCCCTTTGCTTCCTTCTCCTCCCCCTGCTCCTTCTGCTCCTTCTGCTCCTCCTGCTCCTCTTCCTTCTCCTCCTCCCTGTCGGGCAGTGATACAACCGATTTGGCATCTACAGTAGGGGAAGCAACCGGGGGTGCACAGTCCATCACAGCACCTACTCCTTCCACCGCTGCTGATTCCTTCCTAACCACGACCCCACCCACTGCTAATGTTGCAGCCTCAACCACACTTTCATTGGCACCAGCTGCAGCAGCAACAAAACGTTCGGCGGCAGCAGGAACAGCAGAAGGTTTGGCAGCAACAGCAGCAGAAGGTACGGCAGCAACAGCCTCGGATTCAGCGCCAGAATGCTCCTCACCACCTTTCACTGGTTCTCCCTCTGCACTATGCTCCGCCCCCTCCTGCTCTCGCCCCTTCTGCTCTGCACTCCCTGCCCGCACAGCTTCTTGGCTCGCACCCACACACGCATCGCCAACCATGTCCCCACTCCCAACTCCCATGCTCCCCATCTTCTCCTCTCCTGCTCCCTCTTGCTCGTCTGCCCCTGCAAGGGACTCTGCCGCCCACTGCTGCGTCCCCTCCCACCCCTCCTCACCTTCGTCACACATCACCTGCTCCCTCCACCGCAACCCCCCCTCCCCCTCTTCCTCCACCCACTGCTGCTGCCACATCACATCATCCCCATCCCTCTCCTCCCCCACCACCTCCTCTCCGCCATACATCCAATCCTCCATCCCCTCGCCCATAACAGCTTCCTCCTCCCCCATGCCTTCATCCAGAACACCCTCCCCCGCCCCCTCCTCGTCCCCCTCCCCCGCTCCCTCCGACCGCAGAGGTACCCTCATCACCCACCCCAGCGCTCCCACCGCCGCTGCCACCACCACACTCCCCCCCACCGCCGCGCCCACCTGCGCCAGCCCATGCCACACCGCCCCTGGCGCCAGCGCCACTGCCAGCCCCGCTCCGCCCTCCTCCCCCGCCTCCCCCGCCCACGCCCCCCCCGCCAGCCACTCCCACAGCCCCATGCCCTCCATCTCCCCCGCATAGCCCTGCAGCAGCGCGGGTAGCGCGGAGGCCAGGGGCGCGAGGGAGAGCGCGGAGAGGGCGCAGCAGGCGAGGCAGGCGAGCAGGCGGAGGGCGGGAGGGAGGCGGCAGGGGCCCATGACGTGGGGGGAAGCCGCCAGGCGGATGAGAGGCGCGGCGGCCAGGGGTAGCAGGGGGGCGAGGGCGAGAGGCGCGGATTGGATCAAGGTGAGGGCGGAAGAGTCCCCTAGGAGGAGCGCGGGGAGGAGAGTGAGGAGAAGGGAGGCGAGGCGGGTGGCTGCGAAGGCGAGGTAGGGGGAGGGGTGGCGCGGAGGTGGGGAGGAAGGGGGAGCGGAGGAGGCGGGGGGAGGAGGGAAGGCGAAGGCGGAGAGCGCGAGCTGGGCGGCGAGGGTGGTGGAGGGCGCGAGGAGGTGCGCTGCTGCCAGCAGCACGAGCGCGAATAGCCCCGGCGCTGCCTTGGCAGTGAGCAACTGGTACAGGGGAGAGGCGTGGGACGGGAGGGAGGGCAGATGGGCGGAAAAGGACGGGGGAGAGTGAGGTGCTGTGCCGATGATACGGATCGTGCGGTGCAGGAAGTACATTCACAGATCTACATTACGTGCGGAAAGGGGAGGAGGGGAGGGGGGAGAAGGGAGGGAAGGTGGGGGGAGAAGGGAAAAAGGGGGGGGGGGAGAGGGAGGGGGGTAATGCGAGAGATAGTGCACACACAGACACGCACGCACGCACGCACACACATGCACACACACACACACACACACACACGCACACACACACACACACACCCACCTGCACGAGGAGGCAGTGGCCGTCCTGCAGTGACAGCACGGACGGCGCGTCTGTCTCGTCCTCCTCATCCTCCCCCCTCCTCATCGCCCCTGCAGCAGCGCCCAGCACCAGCAGCACCGTTGCCACCAGAGCCAGCAACTGCGGCAGTAGCAGCTCCCCCCACCTCCGCCACCGCCGCCCCCCTGTGCACCTTGCGCCCGCCCCCTGCTTCTCTGGCTTGCGCTCCTCCGCGCCGGCCTTTTCCTGCGCGTGGGCAGGCAGGGCAGAAGGAAGGAGGAACAGACACGAGGCGCAAGAGGGTAGTGACATGGGGCATGAGAGACAAGACAAGCTACTGGAACGCGGAAGCAGCGAGCGGAGGTTTGACAGCACAGCACGCCGCAGCCGAACGAGCACACCCGAAAAAGGACGAGGGGCGAAGCGACGCAACGAAGCGACGGAGAGACGAAGTGACAACGCAAGGGGAGCGGGAACGAGGAGACGAGGGGCGCACCTGCCAGGCGAGCAGCAGGAAGGTGTGCGGCAGCAGACACGCGCCCAGCATCGCCGCGCCCATCCACGCGCTCTCCGCGGAGGGGAGAATAGAAGTGGGCGCGACGAGGGGGACGAGATGCGGGATGAACGCGGCGGGGGTGAGGAAGGGGAGGGCGGAGAGGCAGTGCAGGGCGCAGGAGAGGAGCAGCAGCAGCAGCAGGCTGACGCACAGCGACACCAGCTGCTGAGCCTGCGCGTGTTGGGGGGCGGAGAAACAGGGAGAGGCGGCGAAAGGCAGGGAGGCGGGGAGAGGTGAGTGGGATCGCAGTGACATGGGTGGGTGAGGAGCGCGCAGGTGTGGGAAGCAGTGTGATCGGCGGCAGAAGATGAGGACATGGGGCATGACTCATGCACGTGCAGTGACCAGCCGATTGCGCGTGAGAACGTATCTGGGCTTCCGCTGCCAACTTTCCACACCGGCCGCGGGTGAGCCACGCAGATAAAGCGCCCCACATGGCCGCGCGGTGGCAAGGGAAGAGAAAAATTAAAAGGGGGGGTGGAAGCCTGGAGGGGGGACGATTTCGTAGCGGAGTCGCAATACGCGGAGGGGCGCACCTTGCCGGGAGGGGCGGCAATGGCGGCGAGGCCGGAGAGGGCGGAGAGCAGCAGCGCGGGCTTGAGCGCGAGCCCCGCCAGCAGCTGCAGCGCCGTGGCGGAGGCCCAGAGCGCGGCGATGTCGAGCGCGACGATGGAGGCGGCGCAGAGGAGCGGCAGCAGGCGGCGGAGGGCGCGCGGAAACTCGTGAAGCCAAACCTGCGACGAGGCGGAGAACACGGGGCGGATTCGTGAGCGGCTGAATGTGGGAATTCGCAAGCGGCGGAGTGCGAAATCGGGTAACAGCGGAGCGCGAGCTAGCGAGCGCGAACCTGAGGAACGGTGGCACCAGTGACGTCGACGATGCGCGCAGCCGCGTAATTGAGGAGCAGCGCGACGGCGTGCGCGAACAGCAAGAGCGGCAGAAGCGCCGCTCCGCCGTGGCGCGATGCGGCCGCGGAAAGAGCGAGCGACCAGAGGTGCGGGTTGAGCGACGCGGCGAGCAGCGCCAGGGGAAGGCCCATTAGAGACCACACGGGACACAGTGGACCGCTCCAGGCGGAGGGTAAAACCCGCGGGAGAAACGCCATGATGCGATAAATAGTACGCCTCGTACCTAGCGCACGGGTGCGGGACACGGACTACGATGTCCTTAAGGGGCTCAAGTCGTAAGCGGTCATCTCAGAACTACGCTATTAGCATGCGACGAGCACACGCAAAAAGGGTGACGACTGTCGGGATCAACGAATGCAAGATGAAAGCGAGCGCTGGTGCGTTGTTCGATCAGTTGGCACTGGATATCACTCTTTTGATGGTTCTTTGCTGCCCCTCTACTCGTTGCGCCATGCGTTGATATGGCTGCAGCAGACACACCCGGTTGCACGATCATCCAAGGGGGTACACCGGCCTGATTGTACCGCGTTGAGGTGATAAGAGCGCAATCCACACGACGCGTGACAGCTGGAACGACGCGCGAATATTGGTTCGACAGTGCGCTGCCAGGCTGGTCTGGGAGTGGGGGGATGGTGGGGAGGCTTATCTCTTTCTCTGAAAGTGTGACGCATACCATCTAACAAGAAAAACGACCTCTAGTATCGCATCTGGTAAACAACCGCCATGGACCAAGGTTTCCATTCTGTACCGTGCACTTTGCTCGCCTGGCAATCGTGCTCTACATACAACCAACCAGGGACAATTGCGCAGGCGGAGGAAATTAATGGCGTTCTTGCAGGTGCGCGAGCACGCCTCGCTTCTGTTCATCGCCACTTCCTCTTCAATTGATTTATCACAGCTTGCCCCGAAAGCGAGAAACAGAGCTTCCCGCTAGGTGAATGAATAATGAAAAAATAGAAAGGTTTGAAATGTTTTCGATCGGTTTCAGCTGGTTAGAGCGGTTTTTAAAAGGCTTGATTTGAGGTGGCTGATTTGGGCTCCTCTTCCCCCACCCACCACTTCCTCCTGCACGCCTCGCATCCGCCTTGTGCGCTGCAGTCTTCCCCCTGCAACTCCAGCTGGACGCCTCGCTTCGCTTCCCCCGCACGCACCTCGATCAAACCTCTTTTCCCCGCCAGACCGACCGCCTCATTGCCCCAAGGTTCTCCTCTGCACTTTTTCATCGGCAGCCGCCAATGACAAGCCGTCCTGCCTGAAGGCATCTGCCCGTGTGGGCCCACAGGCAAACCTGGTCGACAGCGCAGCAGCGCTGCCAACGCACGCCGCACTGTGTACCACCGCACACCCCGGCGGACGGTGCAGATTCACGTGTCTATTGATTCCATGATGGACGCTCCAAATCTAGGGCTGGCCTCTGTTGTCGCGGGGAATCTGACCCTGTTTCGATACACCCTGTTTCTCACTACACTGAACTGTGCCGAACTGGTGGAAGACCTTGTTATCTTCGATTTGTCTGATTGAACCATACGGAGACATAATCTAACCACCGTTAACCGTGCTTTTTCCATCTTGACTTCACTATAACCGAGTTCACAATGGCGAGAAATAGGGTGTATTACGTGTGCCACCAGCCATATTCGTCTCAAATAGATGCGCAAAAATCCAGTGTATCTACAAGATCATGCGTGTACAATATGGGTGTAGAATCACAATGGTATGGATTTTATAGTTACTTCTCCTTGTAGGAACTACTAAAATGGAGCCGCATAATCCTTCTCAATACTATGTTTAGTACAGAAAAAAATAAAATTTCCTACCTGCTCGTGATGTGCATAGGATAATGGACTCACACCAGATACGCTAATGGGGATTAATTGCATTTCCAATATATACATTAGACTGAAGGAGAAACAAACTGCTGTTACAAATGAACTGCCTTTTCAACTTCAGGACGCGTACCTACTTTAGAACCTGGATCAAACGTTTAAAACGTGGTTCAGAACGTTATCAAACGTTTAAAACTCATAAGCACGTTTAAAGTACGGTGAGCAATCGGTTTCGCAATATTGATCGTGGAAATTTGAAACAAGGGACGCCTCATTGTCGAAACTGCTTTCTAGGCGAGAGCACGGTCAGTGTGAACGAGCCTGCAGTGCCACCGTCACTGCGGTCACTGTTTGCTCGCATGAACGACGTGATCACCTGTCTGTCACTTCCCCATGCTCGGTCGCCAGCGACTCCCTTTGCGCTTGGAGTAATTATTTTAGTTCATTGTAACGCTCAGTAGTTAATACGGTGATCTTTGAAGTGTTTAAATCGGGTTGGTATGTAGCAGATTCCGTCGCGAGCGAACTTAGGACGGTGTGGAGTCGAGTTGTGACGATGGATTTTGGCAGGAGGCCATGACGACGCCAGCGAGCACTTTGGGTGGTATAGTCAAAGGCGGTGAGGCTGCGACGACGTGCGACACTCCAATCTGTTCGCGAAGTTTCGGGAATTGAGAGATCCCCAGGAGCCGAGCGACATGGTGGGAATGGTACGTCTGGGATGCGAGGAGCACGTTAGACGCGCTTCGCGTGCGTAGAGCCGATCAAGGTTACGAACCAGTGCGGAAGATTCAGGATGTGAATGAATTTATTCCAAGGCTCACGCGATTACTATGCTAACGAGCGATTCGCGTCCCCGTCCCTTCTCCAGGACTTGCAATGGTACAACCAGACGCGATTACTCCACGCTGACGTGGCAGCCGATGGCGAGGGGATAGCTAAGAGCGAGGCGAAGGCGAGGCCGGATGGGACGGCGGCGGAGAAGGCGGGGAGGAGAAGCGCGTCCCGACGCAGCAGGAAGGGACGCCGCGCTGGCGACGAGCTATTGGCCGCGCGCGACGCCGCGGACGCCGCTGACAGCGGCGAGGAGTGTGCGGGTGATGATAGGGGTGATGGGGTTGACAGGGCAGCGGCAGACGCAGTAGCCGTGGAAGCAGCAGCAGCAGCAGCCGGGGCAGGGGATAGTGAAGCGGAAACGGAGAGCGAGAATGAGACCCGTCGCCCCGTGCCGTCCATCCGCCCTCCTCGTCGCTCCGCCTCCCGCGCCTCAAGAACAGGCGGCAGCAGCAGCAGGGCAGGCGGCAGCAGGGCAGGCACGAGGCCGGGTCCGCCTGTGGCGCTGAACGTGCGGGACGACCGCGGGTGGACGATGCTGCACATCGCCAGCCACATGGGCAACGTGCGCATGGTGCGTGGTAACATGGTAACCGGGTATTGAGGTAGCTGGGTAGCGCCGTGGTTACAGGGTAGCACGGCAGGGCGACGTCGTGGATGAGCCATCACTGAGGCCGAAGCACTGAGCAAGCTGGGCGTCCTGGGCGACAGCAAGCTGTCAGTGTTCTCTTCTCTAGCGCCAGCGCCCCAAATCCCCATTTTTTCCTTTCTTTCCCGCGTCCCTGGGTGACCCACGCACCCGCTTATTCCAGGTGCGGCAAACACTGGAGGAGGGAGATGTTGCGGTGGATGAGCCATCGTTGGGCCCGAAGCACGCAAGAGCAAGCTTTCAGTGTTCTCTAGCACCCGCGCCTCAAAATCCCTTTTTCTCTCTCTTTCCCTTTCATCCACCCAGGTGCGGCGGCTACTGGAGGAGGGCGAGGCGACGTGGCGGTGGACGAGCCATGAGTGTCGCTCATTGTCCCTTCCCCCTCCTCTTCCGTGTCTTTCCCACCCTCCCTACAACCCACCCTCGCTCCCTCCCACCCACCCAGGTGCGGCAGCTACTGAAGGAGGGCGATGTGGCAGTGGACGAGCCATCTCTGGGCCCGAAGCACGCTATCCTGGGCGTCCTGGGCGAGAGCAAGCTATCAGTGCTCTCTAGCACCCGAGCGTCAAACCACTATTTTTCCTATCTTTTTCCTAACCGTCCCCAACATACGCACCCCACCCACCCAGGTGCGGCAGCTACTGGAGGAAGGGGATGTTGCGGTGGACGAGCCATCGCTGGGCCCAAAGTACGCGGGGGCGACGGCGCTGCACCTGGCGGCAGCAGCGGGGCACATAGCGGTCATGGACGCGCTGCTGGAGGGCGGCGCTAATATTGAAGCGCGCACGCGCGGTGCCTTTGGCTGTGAGTGCCCACCTTCCTGCTCTTGGTGTCTGTGTCTTTCAGACGCCTCCTGCTGCACCTGGCGGCGGCAGCGGGGCACATAGCAGTCATGGTCGCGCTGCTGGAGGGTGACGCCAACATTGAGGCGCGCACACGTGGCGCGTTTGGCTGTGAGTGCTCCCCTCGCACACACCTGAGCCTCATCGTTGCCTGAACGCTGCTGCACCTGGCGCCAGCAGCGGGGCACGGAGGACATGCAGGACCCGTGCTTCAACCCGCCACCATTGCTGCAGTGCAGGGCGTGCTCTGTCCCAGGTACCCTGTTCATGTCTCCCCATTCCCCCCTTTCTCTCTCGACTCACATCCATCGTTTCCCCTCACCCTCCCTTCGCTCTTCCCTCTCAACCACCCCCCTCACTCCCTCCCCTCCTCCTCTGCCCCAGGGACCCCCTTGCACCACGCGGCGCGGCACAATCGACGGCGAGCCATCCGATTCCTCCTGGAAAGCGGAGCATTCCTGGCGGAGGACATGCAGGACCCACGCTTCAACCCGCCGCTGCACTACTGCCGCAGCCTGCAGTATGCCTACCAGCTGCAGCAGAGCATGAGTATGGGGAATGGCGGTGGGGAGGGGAGTAGCAGTGGGGGAGGTAGCGAGTTGGAGAGTGGGAGCGGTGTGGAGGGAGGGGTGGTGGGGGAAGGTGGGGAGGAGGGAGAGGAGCCGGTGGTGGGAATTTGAGGGAGGGAGGGAGGTGAGCATGCAGAGAGCGGGGCGTTCCTAGCAGAGGAGAGGACATGCAGGACCCGCGCTTCAACCCGCAGTATATGTATTTCTGCTCTGGTGTCTATGGTCAACCCGCCACTGCACTACTGCCGCAGCCTGCAGTACCGTATGCGTACCAGCTGCAGCAGGCAATGTCTGGGGAAGGTGGTGGGGAGGGGAGTAGCAGTGGGGATGGCAGCGAGGGGGGCAGTGGGAGCGGTGTGGAGGGAGGGGTGGTGGTGGGGATGGGTGGGGAGGAGAGGGAGGTGGTGGATCAAGAGCCAGCCGAAGCCTGCCATGCCAACCATAGCTTGTCGACCATGGCCCATCCCGTCCACTGTGGCTTCCACATCAGTGCAATGTGCAAGTGGCTGTGTAGGGTTTGAGATATGGTACGTACGGTATGGTACGAGTGGCGGTGGTAGAGTCAGCAGCTGCAGGTCATGACTCGTGACATGTGGACGGAACATGTGCCAGCTTTGGTTAGTGGCATGTCAACTCAACTCAACTTGAATGTAGTGTAGGCGGATCAGATTTACGGTAGTATATTTCTGTTCAGGTGACGCTGCTGTAGTATGGTGATGTGCACTAAGGTAAGGAGTGGTTTGTTGGCTTCATCACTTGTTGAAGACTTGCTGTGATGAACAGTGATAATGAATTGGAACTCACAATACAAAATCCAATCCATGAAATTGCACTCTTCATGCAGACACTCTCCCTAACCTCGAGGCAGTAGCACCAAGGATACACATGTATTAGTACACTATCACCATTCCTAACTAGACTAAGGTACCGGTACCTATCAGTTGTGTACATGTTTGAAAGACAAAAAGTTGTCATATACCCCAGGTGCACTTCATGTGTACGGTAGGTCTAATCACCACCCTGCAATCAACCAGCCAACACAGCTGCACTAAAACAGAGCTCGAGAGACCACAGAGGAAGCTAGCTGAACTCGCTTCGTGAAAACCCAAGGCTCCACCCCATGCTAGTAGTTGCAGTTCATGCGTACAAACACACCGGGGACGGAAACAATTACGACAGCTAAGCATCGTTATTCACTGCAGCACCGCACACCACCTCACTGTGCTGCATTGCTTTGCTCTCCCTCCCACTTCTCTGCTCTGCACTGCTCCACAGCAGGCACCCGTGGGGGCTCAGACTTCAAAGTGCGGGCACGAGTCAGTCGTCAAACTCAGCGCCGTGCTCCAGCAAGTAGTTGGCAGCGAGCTCCTCGTTCTTGTCGCACGCGAAGAATGCCTCCACCACCAGGTCGCGATCGAATCCCATCGCCTCCAGCTGCAGGGGGCCACAGGGCCGAGTGGGGCAGGGCACAGGGAACAGAGCACAGGACACAGGGCCGAGTGGGGCAGGGCACAGGGAACAGAGCACAGGACACAGGGCCGAGTGGGGCAGGGCACAGGGAACAGAGCACAGGACACAGGGCCGAGTGGGGCAGGGCACAGGGAACAGAGCACAGGACACAGGGCCGAGTGGGGCAGGGCACAGGGAACAGAGCACAGGACACAGGGCCGAGTGGGGCAGGGCACAGGGAACAGAGCACAGGACACAGGGCCGAGTGGGGCAGGGCACAGGGAACAGAGCACAGGACACAGGGCCGAGTGGGGCAGGGCACAGGGAACAGAGCACAGGACACAGGGCCGAGTGGGGCAGGGCACAGGGAACAGAGCACAGGACACAGGGCCGAGTGGGGCAGGGCACAGGGAACAGAGCACAGGACACAGGGCATGAGTGGCGGAAGAAAGAAGGAAGCAAGTAGTTGGCAGCGAGCTCCTCGTTCTTGTCGCACGCGAAGAGTGCTTCCACCACCAGATCCCTGTCAAACCCCATCGCCTCCAGCTGCAGGGGACATGAGGCACGACGCACACACGTGGCGCACAATTCACGAGCATTGGCACATGCATGCGGCATGGTCCAGCAGCTGAATGCCATCCCCATCCATGTCATGCCTCATTCATCCTTCCACTGTAACGCCCATCTGTGCTACAGCCCGTGCAATCGCCTCTTGCCCCTCTCACCCGTGCGATGGCCTCTTGCTCCTCCGGGGTGACTTGGATTGCTCTCACGCCTGGCGGCAGGCCCTCTCCCCCTGCTGCCGCCGCTGCTGCCGCCTCCAGCTGACTCATCAGCTCACTGTGAGAACAAAGAGGAAAGCGATGGATGGGTGGGAGATGGGAGGGACGGATGGAGAAATTGCGGGATGGATGGAGAAATTGAGGGGCAGCTGGGGAAACGGATGCAGGGCGTCGGTGCGAGGCAATGCAGGGGGTGAGATGAGTGAGTGTAAACGAGAAGCACAGGGAGTGCGAGAGCGAGTGTTTGTGAGGGAGAAAAAACGGAGCCCTTCTGAGGAAAAGGGAGGGGAGAAATTGTGTGAGAGAGAGAAACGACACAAGGTAGGGAGGGAGAGGTGCGTGGGTGAGATAGACAAACCCTTCTGGGGGCGGCTCGTTGATGAGTTGGAGGAACTACGTCTGGTGCGCCTGGATTAGCCGCAGCAGGTCCGGGTTCTGCTTTTGAGGCGCCTCAAAATACGACACTGGCACTGGCACTGGCACTGGCACTGGCACTGGCGCGAGGAAGACAAGGGATCCCGCACAGGTGGCTCTTACCCTTCTGGCGGCGGCTCGTTGATGAGTTGCAGGAACTCCGTCTGGTGCGCCTGGATTAGCTGCAGCAGCTCGGGATTCTGCTTGCCCAGCTCCTGTAGCATGGGCTGGTGACGTGACGGGAGATTTGCGAGAGAGGGATGGTGGGAGGGGGGAGAAAGGGACGGGTGTGGGGTTGAGGTGAGGGCGATGGGGGATGGTAGCTCACGGTTCTGCTTGCCCAGCTCCTGTAGCATGGGCTGGTGGTGTGGGAGAGAGGGAAAGTAGGGGTGGAGCAGTTGAAAGGGATGGGTGTGGGGGTTGGTGTGAGGGCGATGGAACTGGGGATGGTAGCATGAATGAGGTGCAGCAGCTGGGTATTCTGCTTGCCCAGCTCCTGTAGCATGGGCTGGTGACTGGGCAGATGTGGTAGAGGGGGGCAGGACAGGAGGGGGAGGGGTTAAAGAGAACGGGACGGGAGTGGAGGTGAACGAGGTGCAATATCGAAATCACTTTTGAGAATGGAGGAGCTCAGCAGCAGCTCTCAAGAGTGGAGGGGAAGGAGGTGCGTGCAGCAGCTGGGGGTTCTGCTTCCCAAGCTCAGGGTTCTGCTTCCCAAGCTCAGGGTTCTGCTTCCCAAGCTCAGGGTTCTGCTTCCCAAGCTCCTGTCTCATGGGCTGCGCTTGGGGCGAAGGATGGGAGGGAGGGGGGGGGGGGGGAAGGGACGGATGTGGTGGTGAAGTGTGGGAGACGGAGGATGGTGGCACGGTGGCATGGGTGGCATGGGTGGCATGGGTGGCACGGTGGGATGGGTGGCATGGGTGGCATGGGTGGGATGGGTGGCATGGGTGGCACGGTGGCATGGGTGGCATGGGTGGCATGGGTGGCACGGTGGCATGGGTGGCATGGGTGGCATGCGTGGGATTGTGGCATGTTGATCGCGGATGGTTGCATGGATGCATCTAGAAGTGGCAAGACGAGCTGAGCTACAAGGGAATGGTTTGGTGACTGGACACAGAGCCAAGGCATGAGAGAGAGCGAGTTGGTGCGGTGGGTACAAGCAGAGTGCGGTGGGTACAAGCAGAGTGCGGTGGGTACAAGCAGAGTGCGGTGGGTACAAGCAGAGTGCGGTGGGTACAAGCAGAGTGCGGTGGGTACAAGCAGAGTGCGGTGGGTACAAGCAGAGTGCGGTGGGTACAAGCAGAGTGCGGTGGGTACAAGCAGAGTGCGGTGGGTACAAGCAGAGTGCGGACGGGGAGGGCGTACCTGCAGCAGCTGTGGGCGCGCTTGGACCATGGCTCTTAGCTCTTGGAACTGCCACGCAGCACACGCAGCACAGGCAGCACAGGCAGTAGAAGCAGCAGTGACAGCAACACCATGAGCATGAGCATGAACATAGGCATGGGCATCAGCAAGAGAAGAATTAGAAGCAAGAGCAGAATTAGAAGCAAGAGCAGAATTAGAAGCAAGAGCAGAATTAGAAGCAAGAGCAGAATTAGAAGCAAGAGCAGAATTAGAAGCAAGAGCAGAATTAGAAGCAAGAGCAGAATGAGAAGCAAGAGCAGAATGAGAAGCAAGAGCAGAATGAGAAGCAAGAGCAGAATGAGAAGCAAGAGCAGAATGAGAAGCAAGAGCAGAATGAGAAGCAAGAGCAGAATGAGAAGCAAGAGCAGAATGAGAAGCAAGAGCAGAATGAGAAGCAAGAGCAGAATGAGAAGCAAGAGCAGAATGAGAAGCAAGAGCAGAATGAGAAGCAAGAGCAGAATGAGAAGCAAGAGCAGAATGAGAAGCAAGAGCAGAATGAGAAGCAAGAGCAGAATGAGAAGCAAGAGCAGAATGAGAAGCAAGAGCAGACTGAGAAGCAAGAGCAGAATGAGAAGCAAGAGCAGAATGAGAAGCAAGAGCAGAATGAGAAGCAAGAGCAGACTGAGAAGCAAGAGCAGAATGAGAAGCAAGAGCAGAATGAGAAGCAAGAGCAGAATGAGAAGCAAGAGCAGACTGAGAAGCAAGAGCAGAATGAGAAGCAAGAGCAGAATGAGAAGCAAGAGCAGAATGAGAAGCAAGAGCAGTAAGAAGAGCCTCACAATGGTAGGGCAAGCATTACCTCTACTGTACGCACAAGACCTGACCTGCTGTCACAATGCATCCCCTTGATTCTAAACATAAAACTCTTCAGCGCAGAAGCAGCCACTCACCTTGCACTGGTAACCACTCACCCTGCACTGGTAACCACTCACCCTGCACTGGTAACCACTCACCCTGCACTGGTAACCACCCACCCTGCACTGGTAACCACCCACCCTGCACTGGTAACCACTCACCCTGCACTGGTAACCACTCACCCTGCACTGGTAACCACTCACCCTGCACTGGTAACCACTCACCCTGCACTGGTAACCACTCACCCTGCACTGGTAACCACTCACCCGGGGATTGTTTCGCAGGAAGTCCAGCGCTGCCGCTCCCTCTGCGCCTGCTGCTGCTCCCCCTTGCCCCGGCTGCCGTGAATCCACGATACAGGGAAAGAACATTCCACCAATCAGGGAGATGCAAAACTCAGGTCAGGTGGGATCAACAAGGCAGGACAAGGGCACGAGGAGAGGAGCGACACGATGAGAAGAGCGACACGAGGAAAAGAGCATTTTCTTGCACGGGAAAACAAGGTAAGCAGCGCAAGGGGGGACGAGACGTGGTGAGGGGTTGTGCAGACATGGGGACAGGACAGCGTGGGCCGACTGGGGACAACAAGCGGAATGGGTGAGAGGCGAGCAGACGTGCACCTAGGGGAGGAAGAGCACCTGGGAAAGAGCGCATCTGGGGGAAGAGCGCGCCTGGGGGAAGGGCGCGCCTGGGGGAAGGGTGCGCCTGGGTGAGAAGGCGCATCTGGGGGAAGAGCGAACCTGGGGGAAGAGCGAACCTGGGGGAAGAGCGCAACTAGGGAATAGAGCACTTGGGGGAAGAGCGCACCTGGGGGAAGAGCGCACCTGGGGAAACGCACCTGGGGGAAGAGCGCGCCTGGAGGAACGGCGCGCCTAGGGGAAGGGCGCACACCTGGGGGAAGAGCGCACCTGGGGGAAGAGCGCACCTGGGGGAAGAGCGCACCTGGGGAAAAGCGCACCTGGGGGACAAGCGCACTCGGGGGATAAGCTTACCTGGGGGAAGGGCGCACCTGGGCGCACCTGGGGGAAGGGCGTACCTGGGGAAAGCGGGTACCTGGGGGAAGAGGTTGAGGGGCGCGGTATTGGGGCCGCCTTCCATCGCCACGTCCTCCATGCCCTCCGCCTCCCCTCCCCCTCCCGCCGCTGGGGGCGCGCGCGCCACAGGCGGCGCGGCCGTCTCTGGTATACCCTGCGGAGTTGGGCACGGAATGGGGTTGTGCGGCGAAGTGGGGTGAGGTGGAATCGGGTGCGCACAGAGTGTAGAGGAGAGGCGGGGAATGCGCGTAGGGCGGTTAAGGAGTGTGATGCGGGATGACAAGAGGGGAGACAAGGTGAAAACCGGTGGAGAACGGTGACGCAAGGTGCGGTGCACTGCGGAGGGGTCGGGGGCGCGCACCGAGTAGAGGTACTCCACAGCGCGCTCGGGGTTGTTGAACGCCGCCCGCAGAGCGCGCAGCACCGTGTCGCGATCCCAACTGCCGCCGCCCATCTCCAGAATCTGCTGCACCGTCGACTCTAGGTGCGGTCCCGCCAGCAGCGCGGACGCCGCCTGCCCGTACACCCCCCCCGTCTCCGCCGCCGCCCCACTCCCCGCTTGCTCGCCCGCGGCTGCTGCGGGTGCGGCGGTGGCGGCAGGCGGAGCTGCGGGCGCTGCTGGAGCGGCGGGCTCGGCCGGCGCTGCGGGGGCTGCTTGCGCCGCTGGTGCAGCTGGCGCGGCCACTGGTGCCGCAGCAGGCGCTGGCGCAGGGGTCGCTGCAGGCTGGGGGGATGAGAAACATGACATCATATGCGCTTTATTAACGTTCCTAACTATCAATTAATAATTAACGGGGGCAACAAGCTACTCGACGCTCTAAAAAGAGTACCGGTTGGGGAAACGGAAGAGCAAGATGACGTACCGCTGCTTGCGCTGATGACGACGCCCCCGCGGCTCCGGGTTTAGGCTGAAAGCAGCAACGCACGCACGCACGAGAAAATCAGGGCTCAGGTCGACCACGACGACAAGAATCGTTTGATGTGCCTCAAAAGTAACCATGCACGGCAAACTCAGGGTTCAGTACAGCCAAGTCGACATGAATCGTCCAACGGGCAAGAAACCGCGAGATCTACGGCGAGCACTGGAAGCGACAGAGAGCGGCGGGAGGTGGATCTGGAGAAGAGTGGAGGGCGAGACGCGCGACGTGGCAAGAAGGTTTTGACGTGATGTGGAAGAAGTATGGGAGTGACGTGGCGTACCTTTGTCAGCATGACGACGAGGAAGCCATTCTCCGAGACGTTGCTCTCGGCGAGCGTGGAGTCGTCTTTGAGCACCTTGCCCTGGTGGATCAGCAGCTGCTGCTCGCGCGGAAACGCCGCGCCCTGAATCTCAAAGATCTTCCCCTTCACCTCCGCCACCTGCGGGAGTGCGGGTCACAGGGGTTCACCGATGCACTCAATAGATTACTGGTATAAATCACGACAGTGCACCTATCAACGCCGCGCCCTGAACCTCGAAAATCTTCCCCTTCACTTCCGCTATCTGCGGGAATTCGACGGGTTCAGGGCACAGAGATTCGCTATGGTAAATCTTGATAGTGGATCTATCAGCGCGCAGGTATCCGAATGGCAGTTTCCGGTCCTGAGAGAGAATCTATCGGCGATGCATCGGCGGATCTTGGGTTATCTGAGGTTCGACGTTTCTTGCGTTGGAAAATGTTTGGCGGATCTTGCCTTGTCTGACGGCTCGACGTTGACGTCGAATTGAAGCCCCTTGAGGGTCTTCACGGTGACCTTCATCGCCCCACTCTCCGCTGCGTCTCTCTTCCCCTCTGTGTGTGTGCGCTGCTGCTGGCCGTTGCTGCTACACCTATCGGAGCAACTAATAACAGCAGCTTCGCGAATTTTCACCACGCGCTGAATTATATGGATGAAACTGAGGTTAGAAACTATGCGTTGAAGCTAATTGAACTGGCTTTAGCAGATCCTGAAAGTTGGGGCAAAGTGGGCGGATGCTTGGTGGATTTCAGATTCAGTCTTCTTGCAGTAGAGTAGAGTGGTGAGGAGGGGTTAATATGGCACAAAAAGGAAATGAGGGGAGTGGCGGAGGCAGCGCGAAGAGACGAGAGGGACCGAAACCCCGCCTGCTGCATTGTCAGCGCCACGCCTGCAAGCGAGAGGCGCGAAACGTTTCGTTATTTGGTTGCGTAACATTCTCGGTATATTATATCAGAGAAATGAGAACACTCCAACTGTTATTGTATGAATATTCAATATTTCCACTTCCGAGGTTCAGAAATGCCTCGATATTGTCAGAAATGGCTCTGCTCAGGGCCGCTTGTGCTCTGCTGGGATTCCCTAGGGGTTCACCGCTCAATCCTGAAACAAGCAGGGCTAGCACAGCTTCGTTCAGATTATTCCTTCATTGCCGTTTCTGAAGCACGTGACTGATTACAGCTTATCTCATACGTGCATAGGCGGCATCTCCGCACTTGTTAATAGCCCTCTTACGCTATTGGCCAGAGTATCTGAGCGAGATCGCGTAGATGGAGGGGTCGTTCGAGTCGTACAAGGAGAAGGTGCGCATTCGGATCTCCCTCCTTCGCGTCCTTCGTTCCGAATCCAGCCGTCCTCTGCTGACCATTAAAGAGCACACGAATGAATAAAGGCGTCTGGTCTCGAGCTCGAGCTACAAATTTCTAGACGCCTAGTGATCCCATTTTCAGATCCATATCCTTGTTGTTTCGCCCCTTGCTGTGCGGCTCGGGCCGTTACTCGCGGCCCTCAGATCTGCGGCCTACATAGCTCTATCTGCCGCGCACCACATTGTTATCGTGACGGCGTCCCATCCCATGCTACTTTGATATGCCTGATTCTGCGAAACGTCTCACGTCGTCGCGTGCGATGACATTTCCCGTCGCGTGCGACGCCTGGTTCCTGTCGCCCGCCGTCGCAGGTGCTGCTGGGCGACGTGGCGTGGGACACGTACGTGACGGCGAAGCTGATCACGGGCACGGACTTCCAGCTGCTGCGCCGCTACGACCACCGCTCCAAGGAGGTCCAGGCCGCGCTGCTCGAAGAGGCAAGCGCCCATTCCCCACTCCCCTTCCGTCCTTACTTCCTCGCTCCTCTCCCTTCCCCTCCTTTCCCTCTCTGCGTTTTTAAGACGTCTCAAAATTCTGAGACGCTACGACCACCGCTCCAAGGAGGTCCAGGCCGCGCTGCTCGAAGAGGCAAGCGCCTCAGCAACTGCCTCTCCGCTCCTCGCGCCTCTCTTTCTCCCTCTTCGGTTCTCGCGTTTATGCGTTTCTTTCGTCCTGGCCGCACGGCATTCTTCGGTCACCCTCGCCTGGTTCCCTACAAAGCGACCGTTTTTACGCATGTCGTTTCCCGTTACTGCTGTTGCGACTTGTGTCAGCGTCGCAGCTGTTCCTCCATAGCTCCATAGTATGCAACACTAAATGGCCCTGTCACAACTTGAGTGCTACCCCTTTTCTTCGGTGCCCTTACGGTTGTCGAAATTTGTCCCCTATTTTTGTCTGGTTCCACTCATTGGCCTGGCAGAACGGCGTCGGATACGTGCGCACGTTTATATCCGTACTGAAGAATGTATTCAAAGAGGAGACCGTGGAGTACACCATTGCTCTCATCGACGAGCTTTTAACAAGTAACGGTTCTTGCTCTTGGCGTTGACGAACGCATAACGCAGAAAACGAGCTCGTGCGTAGAACCGCAACTTGTAACTGGTATCATCATGTGTTGTCTAGTGAGCAAGTGTCGAGTGTAGCAGCGTGGAAAGCATTCTATTGTCTCCCACACGCCATGCGTTCATGCTGCCGCTTGTGTGTGCTGCAGGGGACAAGAAGAGGGCGCGCTTGTTCCACGATCCATCCATAACGGACGATGTCTATGCGCCCTTCATCAGGTGAGCGCCCTTCATCAGGTGAGCGCCCTTCATCAGGTGAGCGCCCTTCATCAGGTGAGTGAGCGCCCTTCATCAGGTGAGTGAGCGCCCTTCATCAGGTGAGTGAGCGCCCTTCATCAGGTGAGTGAGCGCCCTTCATCAGGTGAGTGAGCGCTTTTCATTCATCAGGTGAGTGAGCGCCTTTCATCAGGTGAGTGAGCGCCCGTCCTCACCCATCTCTTGCACACCCAACTCACCAGTCCCCCACTTCATCAACAACCCTATCCAACTCTGCACTGCCTGTCTCTCCACCATCCCACCATGAACTGCCCACCCTCCGCCATCGCAGACTGTTGGGGCACACCAACTGGTTCGTGCTGGAAGCCACGTCGCGGATTCTGCCCCTCATCATTGTGTGAGTGCTCATCTTCTGCTTGTCGTGCATGCCGTTATGTGAGCACTGTTCGCTGTTTGCTGCTTCCCATGCATGCCATCGTGTGAGCGCTCTGCTTCCTGCTACCATGCATTTCTCTCTCATCATCGTGTGAGTGCCTTTTGCTGTCTGCTGCTTCCCGTGCATGCCTCTCTGCATCACGACGTCTGTACCTCACCCCTGTGTATCCAGTGAATAGGAAACACTTGTCCACAGCACCTGCCCCTCCAATCATAATAACGTCCTTCCGTGCATCTCCCCTCCCCCCCTTAAATCACCCCCTCTCCAACGGCCGTTCCCGCCTCGTGCCTGCCCGCCCACCAGCTCTCGCCCGCACAGCTCTTCCGCGCCTGCAGCAGCAGCTGGGGCAGAGACGCCCGCATCCCCCCCAGCAGGCGACATAGACTACGTGCTTGAGCCCTTCATTGCCTTTCTCTGCCACCAGGTGAGCCATGCCCATGACCTAGTGATCTCGTTTTCCCCCACAGCTCGTCCGCACTCGCAGCGTCAGCAGCAGCAGCACCAGCAGAAGCAGGGGAAGGGACGCCCGCGTCCCCCCCAGCAGGCGACATAGACTACGTGGTTGAGCCCTTCATCGCCTTTCTCTGCCACCAGGTGAGTGCTCTGCCATGCCCACGTCCTAGTCATCTCGCTTCCCCCTCACCACCATATTTACCCTTTCCCCACACCTCTCCGCCTCCCCATTTCCCTCCCTTCTGCCCCCAGCTGACTCGCCCGGTGCGCGCGGTGCCATCAGCCGTAACAGCGCTCGCCACAACGCTCAGGGGCGTATTCGCTTTTAAGGCTCCTCAGTTATCAACCTTCACACATTTCCGTCTCTCCCCTCCCTCACTCCCTCCCCCAGCTGACTCGCCCGATGCACCCGGTGCTTGTGGTGCCAGCAGCCATAACAGCGCTCGCCACAACGCTCAGGGACATGTTTACTGTAGAAGCAGAAATCAACCCCCACACCTTTCCGCCTCTTCTCTCCCCCATCCCCACCCCCAGCTGACTCGCCCGGTGCACCCGGTGCGGGCGGTGCCAGCAGCCACAACAGCGCTGGCGCCAACGCGCAGGGACATGTCAGCTGTTGAGGCGCCTCATAAATCAATCCCCACACCTCTCCGCCTCTCCTTCCCCCTGCCTCCCCCCCTCCCACCCCCAGCTGACTCGCCCGGTGCACCTGGTGAGGGCAATGCCAGCAGCCATAACAGCACTCGCCACAATGCTCAGGGACGTGTCAGCTCGCTCCATCTTTGCCAAGGCTGATGGCGTGCGCCTGCACAGTCCCTCCTCTATCCCCACACATGTCCCCATCGCACCCTCCCTCCCTACCCCCCTCCCACCCCCAGCTGACTCGCCCGGTGCACCCGGTGCGGGCAATGCCAGCAGCCATAACAGCGCTGGCCACCACACTCAGGGACGTGTCGGCTCGCTCCATCTTTGCCAAGGCGGATGGTGTGCGCCTGCTGCTGCCCTACATTGCACCCGTGGCTGGCCAGAACCAGATGCAGGTGTGATGGCTGATGGTTTAATTCGTAATGGTGTGGTTTGTTATGGTGTGTGCTTTTGGATTCGGTTGTGTTGTGTGGTACCTGCTGCTTCCCTACATCGCACCCGTGGCTGGCCAGAATCAGATGCAGGTGTGATGGCATGGCATGTGGTGTGATGCGTTATGGTGTGGTTCGTTTTGGTGTGGGCTTTCTCACACGTTTTTGCTTCTGCACTGCCTGCTGCTGCTGTACGGTGTGCCCGTGGCCGGCCAGAACCAGATGCCCCATGTGTTACAATGCATGCTCTTAGACAGCACTGCATGAGTGCTCAACGCCCTGACCCCATGCCTCTGTCTCTTCCTGTCTCACACCCCCCTCTCCCCCACCTCCCATCCTCGCCTCCTTTATTCCCCCCCCATTCAGCTGCTGTACGAGGCGGTGCTGTGCCTCTGGCTGCTCTCCTTCCACGAGCCTTCCCTGGAGGCCATTCGCCAGGCGCGCATTCTGCCGCGCCTCATTGACGTTGCCAAGAGCTCCGCTAAAGAAAAGGTGGGTAGCTGCGCTGACTTTTGACTCAACTCAAAAGTCAACTCATCATTCACCAGGCGCGCATTCTCCCGCGCCTCATTGACGTTGCCAAGGGCTCCGCCAAGGAGAAGGTAACGAGCTGGGAGCACAGGCATAGCAGGCCAGATGTAGCATGGCTCCTGAGTCCACTCACTCCTCTCACTGTTCCCGCTCCACTCAAGTCATTTGAGGCATACTTTGTCTCGTTTTTTAGGCTAATAGCTTCGCCAGAGGAAGGAAAGAGCTCCCATTCTGTCACCTCCCTTCACCACTCCCCACCCTCCAACCCCTTTTCTCCATCTTGTCGCACCCCCCCTCCCCCTTCTCTCTCCACCTCCCCTCACGTCCCACAGATAGTGCGGGTGGCGTGGTGGTGCTGACGTTGAGCAACCTCATCATCTGCGGGCACCTGGGGGCATCGATGGTGGAGCTGGGGCTGCCAGACCGTCGCACAGCAACTCACTCCTCTGCGCCTCTCCCAACCAACCACCTTCTCACCCTCACATGTCACAGATTGTGCGAGTGGCGGTGCTCACCCTCAGCAATCTGATGACCCGCGGGCACCTGGGGGCATCAATGGTGGAGCTGGGGCTGCCAGACGGACGCACAGCAGCTCACAGCCCTGCACCCCCTTTCACATCTCTTCACCGCTCTTAACCCCCGAACCCCCACCTCCCAACCTCACAGATTGTGCGGGTGGCAGTGCTCACTCTGAGCAATCTCATGACCCGCGGGCACCTGGGAGCATCAATGGTGGAGCTGGGGCTGCCCAAGGTCGTGCAGAGCCTCACACCTCTCCACCTCTCCCAACCCCCCAACCTCCCACCCACACGTGCCACAGATAGTGCGAGTGGCAGTGCTCACTCTCAGCAACCTGATGACCCGCGGGCACCTGGGGGCATCCATGGTGGAGCTGGGGCTGCCCAAGGTCGTGCAGAGCCTCAAACTGCACGCGTGGCACGACGAGGTGAGCTGGCAGCATGACGTAGCACGACGAGGTGAGCTGGCAGCATGACGTGGCACGACGAGGTGAGCTGGCAGCATGACGCGGCACGACGAGGTGAACTGGCAGCATGACGTGGCGCTGGAGGTAAGCTGGCAGTATGATGTGGCAGGACGAGGTGAGCTGGCAGCATGACGTGGCATGACATGGTGAGTGCCATGCCAGGGCATAATGCACACTCATGCCGTGAGCTGCAGCCTGCAGCTCGTTTCTTGTGCCCTGCACTCTCGTGCCATCTATGCATGCCTCGCCCCCCATCATCGTGCGTCCCCTCTCTGACCACAATACTCCCATCTGCCCCATCCATGCTTCACGCTGCCCCTACCAGGATCTGAACGAGGCTCTAGAGGCGCTGGACGTGGGGTTGAGGCACAACCTGCGCGTGATGAGCTCGTTTGCCAAGTACTACCGCCAGGCCAGGAGGTGCTCTGAGGCGCGCTCACAAGCCTCATATCACACCGTCTTCCCTTCCTTCCCTCTCTGTTCCCTGCGCGTCTCACACTGCCACCATCATCAGGACCTGAAGGAGGCTCTTGAGGCGCTGGACGTGGGGTTGAGGCACAACCTGCGCGTGATGAGCTCGTTCGACAAGTACCGCCAGGAGGTGCTGTCGGGCTCGCTCGACTGGACGCCCATGCACAAGGACGCGGCATTCTGGCGCGAGAATGTCATGCACTTTGAGGATAATGATTTCCAGGTATGTGGCTGGGTGGTGTGCGGTGCTGTGCGGTTGTGAGATTTATGGGGTTGACTGACTGGACGCCCGCGCACAGGATCTTCTGGCGGGAGAATGTGATGCACGTTGAGGATAACGACTTCCAGGTTTGTGGATGGGTGGTGTGTGGTGAGTGCTGTGCGGTTGTGAGGGTCTTGGGGTTGCCTGACTGGACGCCCATGCACAAGGATGCGGTTTTCTTGTGCGAAAATGTCATGCACTTCGAAAACTACGACTTCCAGGTATGAGAGTCTGGGTGGTGTGCGGTACTGTGCGGTTCTGAGGGTGTCGGGCATGAGCCACGAGCCGTGCATGCTGGCAGTGGTGGCATGCCATGTCACGACCTGGGGCAGTTCATCTCATGTCTTATGCGCCTTAGACGTCTCATCCGTCCAACCCCACTTCACCTTCCCTCCTTCCCTACCCCACACCAGGTGCTGCGAGCATTGGTGGCCTTACTCGACACAAGCCACGAGGCAAAGACTTTGGCAGTGGCGTGTCACGACCTGGGCCAGTTCATCACATACCATCCGGCGGGGCGGGGAGTGGCGCACGACATGAAGGGCAAGGAGCGAGTGCTGCGCCTGCTGGACCATGCCGACCCCGACGTGCGCAAGCAGGCCCTGCTGGCCGTGCAGAAGCTGCTGCTGTCTGCCAAGTATGTCTCGTATCTGCAGTGAGGGAGTAGGGGAGGGGGGTATGTTTCATACCTGCAGTGACGGGGGTGGGGACCCGGGAGAGGAGTGGAGGCAAGAGGTGGCAGGCAGTGATTGTTGCTGGCGACTGGGAGTGGCAGTGCAGCAGAGGGGTGTTGAGCTGCTGGTTTCCTGCCCTGTGTCTATGCATACAAAGCAACTCAACTCGCCGCGGATGTGCTGTAAATGCTCTGCTCATGCTGCTCTCTCTACCCATAATGCAAAGAGTATGCGACTTCGATGTTCACTACAATAGTCAGCATGTAAGTGTACCACATAGGGTAGTGTAGCTTGTTCCATAGCCACATGATGTTTGTTACACTATTCTACTCTTTGAGCTCTCCCTACATTAGCGATCCTTGTCAGACTACAGTGCTGGTTGAACTTTTCCTTTTGCACACCTGACAGTCCATGCATGCAACCATACATACAGATCTCCGTGCCAGCATTGCTGCTGGAAGCAACCAAAAAAGAATGTTGTTAACCGCTGGTTTTTCTGTAGCCCACATTTGTGTTTACTGTACAAACTCAATGCTGCTGCCAGTAGCAAGAGTGCAAGAACCACACTGCCACAGTTCCACCTCCTGTGCGAATGGTACCGTACATTTGTGAGGCACCTCAAAATTTGTTTCATGGTATGGTACCAACCAAGCAGGTGAGCAGCCGGGACACAGGGAAAGCTGAGTGCCTGCCTGCCTGCCAGCAGCCCATGTGGGCACAAAGCCAGCCATTGTTTAAAGCGCATTGCAATCACTGCAGTCACTGTGGTTCACTGCGCCTCCCTGTGGTTCACTGCGGTGCCTTGTGCAGTCGCAGCAGCAGCGAGCTGACCACCACGAGCACAGAGCTCCCTGCCATGAGCCCCCCTGCAGGCAAGGAAGGGGGGTGTAAGGAGGAGGGATGGTGGAAAAGGGAGAGGTGAGATCGGAGATGGGAGAGGGGAGAAGGTGGAGACAGGAAGCATGGAGACAAGGATATGGACTGAAATGGTGGCTGAACAAGTTGCAATGAGTGCTTAAAGCTCATTGGGCAATGATTACCATCCAAGCAAGGGTGAGCGTGATGATGACATCAGCAAGGGCTGGCGTGATTATTACACCAGCAAGGAGTCATTGTGATAGTCCTACCAGCAAGCGTGGGTGTGATACTCACACTAGTGAGGGTGAGCAAGATAACTATACAGGAAAGAGTGGGCGTGATAATCATACCAGCGAGGGTGGGTGTCAGGGCGATGTCGTAGGCGAAGAGGAAGGCTCCGGCAGCGAGCGGCACGGCCAGGCAGTTGTATGCGAGAGACTTACAAATTTACGCAAAAGTCAGCTGGTGAGCATGACAGTCGTACCAGCAAGCGTGGGTGTGAGGGCGATGTCGTAAGCCGGGAGGAAGGCCCCAGCGGCCAGGGGCACGGCGAGGCAGTTGTATGCGAGGGCCCATGCGAGGTTGAGACGCACTCGGTTCATTGTGGCCCGCGCTAGATGCACCGCCTCCACTAGCTGGTGGTGGGGAGGGGAGAGTGAGGAGAAATGAGCAGGGGAGAGTGTAGAGGGGGGGGAAGCATGGGAAGGGCCCAGGCAAGGTTGAAACGGACTCTGTTCATTGTGGCCCGCGCTAGGTGCACCGCCTCCACTAGCTGATGGTGGGGGGGAGGGCGGAGGGTGGGGTTGGTGGGAACGCAAGGAAGTGAGGCATGGCAGGGTGAGCAGGGAGAGGAGGGAGAAGAGGGAAGGGCAGTTGTATGCGAGGGCCCATGCGAGGTTGAGGCGCACCCGGTTCATTGTGGCTCGCGCTAGATGCACCGCCTCCACTAGCTGGTGGTGGGGGGGAGTTGCGAGGGTAGGAACACAGAAGCGAGGCATGGGAGGATGAGTACGAAGATAAGGTGCGGATGTGGCAGAGAAACAAAGGAGGCAGGGAGGACAGGAGGGAGGGAGTGCTGAAGGAAGGGGAGGAGGACAGAGAAAACGGTTGAAAGCAGACAAAAACGAGTGATGGGACGGGAGAGGGGAGGCACTGACTGCCACCTATGAGGCGCCTCAACAGGCGTACCTGGGCGAGTCGGTTGACCAGCAGCACAAGGTCAGTGGAGGCGGCACCCAGGCGAGGTACGTAGGTCACACCTGGGTGAGTCGGTTGCCGAGGTCAGCGGCATCGGCAGCAGCACTCATGACGGCAGAGGTGGCACCCGGGGGAGGCACTGACTGCCACTAGCGGGGCGCCTAAAAGGTCGCACTATCGTGGGACCTCAAAGGCCGCACCTGTGTGAGTCGGTTGCCGAGCAGCACGAGGTCAGCAGCATCGGCAGCAGCACTCATGACAGCGGAGGTGGCACCCGGGGGAGGCACTGCCACTCCCACGTCTGCACGGGCCAGGGCGAGGGTGTCGTTAATGCCGTCTCCCACCTGGTGTGTGGGGGGGGGGGGGAGGGAGAGGGGAGGGAGGAGAGGGACAAGGCAACGGCCAGAAGTACAATGAGCAGAGCTCATGACAGCAGAGGTGGTACCCGGGGGTGGTACTGCCACTCCCACGTGTGCACGGGCCAGGGCGAGAGTGTCGTTGATGCCATCGCCCACCTGGCGTCAGTGGTGGGGGACAAGGCAGCAGTGAGGACATGAGCCAGCTGCACAATGAACGACAATGATGGCGCCCGCTCATACGCTGCACCGCCCGCTAATACGCTGCACCGCACGCACGTACGCTGCACCGCCCGCTCATACACTGCACCGCACGCTCATACGCTGCACCGCTCAATCATACGCTGCACCGCCCGCTCATACGCTGCACCGCCCGCTCATACGCTGCACCGCCCGCTCATACGTTGCACCGCCCGCTCATACGTTGCACCGCCCGCTCATACGCTGCACCGCCCGCTCATACGCTGCACCACCCGCTCAGTGGCGGTTCTGCCACATCCATGTGCTGCTTGCCTCTCCATTCCCTCTCACCGTCCCCATTCACTCTCCACACCATCCTCCCCTCTTCCCACCCTCGCCCCCCTCTTCTCTTACCATCGCCACGCTGTGCCTGTCTCTCAGCACGCCCTCCCCCTATTCCTCCCTACTCACCCACTCCCACTCCCTTCCTCCTCTCTCTCTCACCATGGCTACACTGTGACCGTCCCGTTGCATGGTCTCAATCGCCTCCACCTTGCCCTCGGGAAGCAGTTTTGCCCACACTTTTTCTCACCTACTCCCTTCCTCCCATCCCCCCCGCCCTTCTCCCTTCCTCCACCCCACCCTCCCCCCCCCTTCCCTTCTTCCTCTCACCATCGCCACGCTGTGACCGTCCCGTTGCATGCTCTCAATCGCCTCCGCCTTGCCCTCCGGCAGCAGCCTTCCAAGAACCTTCCCGGGGCCAGCGATGCCAACGGCCTCGGCCACGCGCGTCACTGCAGCCTGCCTGTCGCCCGACAGCACCGACGCTGACACTCCCAGCGATTCCAGCCTGTGGAAGGTGGAGACAGAGCTTTTTGACTAACAAGATGTTTCAAGAATCAACCACACTTGCCACGCGGGTCACTGCTGCCTGCCGGTCGCCCGACAGCACCGCTGCTGATACACCTACTGATTCCAACCTGTGGAGGGTGCAGGGAGGAAGCGAGATCCAGAGCCTTTTGACTAACAAGGTGTTTCAAGAATCATCCACCTCTGCCACGCGCGTCACTGCGGCCTGGCGATCGCCCAACAGCACTGCTGCTGACACTCCCAGCGATTCCAGCCTGTGGGTGGGAAAATGGAGGGTGGGGAAGGAGGGATGGGACAGAGTCTTGTGACTTTCAAGACGCAAGTGCCTGTGCCACGCAAGTGACTGCTGCCCTCCATCCCCCCACACATGACTGTGCAATTGACTCTACTGCACTCATGTCTGCTCAACAGCTCTCCACCACTCACCGGCTCACGGTCTCCTCTGCCTCGGCGCGCAGTGAGTCGCTCACACAGATGCATCCCAGAATGCCGCCCACACTCTTTCCCTCCTCCGTCGCCCCCCTCCTCTCCCCCTCTCCTCCCTCGCCCGTGTCCCCCTCACTCCTCTCCTCCTCGCTCCTCACTTCACCAACATACACAAACGTGTGGCTGCTGCTGCTATCCCTGCTGCCCCAATCCCCTCCCTCCACACTCCCTCCCACGCCCCCACACTCCCCTCTCAACACCCCCTCTTCCACTCTCCGCCATTTCTCCCTCTCCCCTTCCACCTCACTCCCTTTCCCGCTCCCTCCCCGCCCCTCCCTCTCCCTTGTCCCCCCCAAGCAGTGCTTCACCACCCAATCAAAGCCTCCCACGTGAATCTCCCTCCCGTCCACTACAGCCACCACGCCCCGCCCGGGAACAGTGAGAGCAGACGAAACGGGCGGCAGCGGGGCGGCGGAGAGGCGGGCGGCATGGGCGGTGATGGCGGCGGCTACTGGGTGGCGAGTGGTGGCCTCTGCTGCTGCTGCCAGTTGCAGGAGAGACACAGTTGCAGTATCAGTGGCAGTATCTGAATCAGTAGCAACGGCAGTAGCAGTGGTGGTGGTGTGTCTGCGGCTTGATGCTGTGGCTGGGTCTCGGTTGAGGGAGGTGGAGTGGGATTGTGAGTGGTGGAGAGTGGTGGGCGGCAGGTGGGCTGCAGGCACCACAGCAGACACCTGGGGCTGTCCTGCTGTCAGCGTGCCGGTCTGGGGGAGGGGGAGAGGTGGAGAGGTGGAGAGGAAGGACATGCGGAAGGGGAGGGCCAAGAGGAGGGAATTTGAGAAGAGTCTGTCAGCAGAAGGAGATTGGCTGCAACTCGGATGAGCTAGTATAGTAGGTGCTGGTTGCATTCTCTCTCTCTCTCTCTCGTCTGGTCTGGTAACCAGAGCCATCTGGTAACCAGAGCCATCTGGTAACCAGAGCCATCTGGTAACAGCAATCAGGTGCGCTCACCTCACCTCGCCTCGTCTCACCTCGAATAGCGTCTCCCACTGACCTTATCAAACGCCACCACATCGACTCCTGCCAGCCTCTCCAACGCGTCACACAGAGCATCTCACCTTGTTAAACCAAAACAGAAACCAGGTGGTCCCTCCCGTCACACCTAGCGTCTCCCACCGACCTTGTCAAACGCCACCACATCGACTCCTTCCAGCCTCTCCAACGCGTCACACAGAGCATCTCACCTTGTTAAACCAAAACAGAAACCAGGTGGTCCCTCCCGTCACACCTAGCGTCTCCCACTGACCTTATCAAACGCCACCACATCGACTCCTGCCAGCCTCTCCAACGCGTCACACAGTGCATCGCTCCTTCCAGCCTCTCTCACCTTGCCACCTGCCACCAGGTGCCTCGCTGCACCTAGCGTGTCTCCTCTCGAAGCCTCAGCTAATCTCACATGACTCACTCACCTTGTCAAACGCCACCACATCCACCGCTGCCAGCCTCTCCAACACGTCTCCCCCGCGCAGCAGCAGCCCCCTCCTCGCACCTGCCATGCACACACACACGCATCCATCCATGTGAATGAGGTCATGGGAAGCGTGTTCAGAGTCGACGCAAAACACCACATCTACTGCTGCCAGCCTCCCCCGCGCAGCAGCAGCCCCCTCCAAACTCCTGCCATGCACGCATGCAGGTTCTTATACTTGAGAGTTACGCAAGTTACCAGAGTTGTAGCAGATCGTCTTAAGAGACATTGTTTGGCATGGGACGGGTGGGTGGGTGGGTGGGATATGAGGGCATGGACGAGTGGTTGCGAGGCCAGAGGGCAGAGACAGGGAGAGGTGTGCTGCGGTGCAGGGAGGTGTGGTGCGGTGCAGAGAGACCGTACCCAGGGACGTGCCAACGAGGATGGCGGTGGGCGTGGCGAGGCCGAGCGCACACGGGCAGGCGACCACCTGGGGTGGGGAGTGAGAAGCAGGGATCAAAGGGAGCAGACCAGCAGGTGCAGACCAGCAGGTGCAGACCAGCAGGTGCAGTGGAGTCAGGGAGGTGGGGACAAAGGGGTTTGGGAAGCATGGGGTTGGGTATAAAAGGGGTGGGGATTGGAGACGCACATGTGGGAATGGCTGGGAAGGAGGAGCAAGAGAATTGACGTAGTGAAAAGGCGATGCTTGTTTCAGTAACAGCACGCTGATGGCGAGGCGCAGGCTGAGCACGAGGGGGTCAGAGTTGACTTTGCGGCATCTCAACCGCCGTGTCCTTTCTCACCAGCACGCTGGTTGCACTCCACCTCACTAGAACTAACAGTAATGGTAATGGTAATGGTAATAATAATGGTAATGGTAATAATAATAGTAAAGGTAATTGTAATAGTAATGGTAATGTTAATGATAGTGGTAGTGGTAGTGGTAATAGTAATGGTAATTATAATGGTAAAATAATAGTAATGGTAATGGTAATGACAATGGTAGTGGCAGTAGTAATGGTAATGGTAGTGGTAGTGGTAGTGGCAATGGTAATAGTAGTGGTAATAGTAAAGATAATGGTAGTGGTAATGGTAACGGTAATGGTAGTGGTAATGCTAATGGTAATAGTAATGGTAGTGGGAGTGGTAACGATAATGGTAGTGGTAATGGTAATGGTAATGGTACTAGTAATTGTAATGGTAAAAGTAATAGTAATGGTGGTAATGGTAATGGCAATGGTAGTGGCAGTTGTAATGGTGATTGTAATGGTAATGGTAGGGGTAGTGGCAATGGTAATGGTAATGGTAATAGTTAAGGTAATTGTAGTGGTAATGGTAACGGTAATAGTAATGGTAGTGGTAATGCTAATGGTAATAGTAATGGTAGTGGGAGTGGTAATGGTAATGGTAATGGTAATGACAGTGGTAATAGTAATAGTAGTAGTAGTGGTACCATTACCATTACTTGGTAGCTCCTGGCTTCACCAGCACGCTGATGGTAGGCGCAGACTGAGCACGAGGGGGTCAGAATTGACTTTGCGGCATCTCAATAGCCGTGTCCTTTCTCACCAGCATGCTGGTTGCACTCATGCCTTACCAGCACGCTGGTTGCACTCATGCCTTACCAGCACGCTGGTTGCACTCATGCCTTACCAGCACGCTGGTTGCACTCATGCCTTACCAGCACGCTGGTTGCACTCATGCCTTACCAGCACGCTGGTTGCACTCATGCCTTACCAGCACGCTGGTTGCACTCATGCCTTACCAGCACGCTGGTTGCACTCATGCCTTACCAGCACGCTGGTTGCACTCATGCCTTACCAGCACGCTGGTTGCACTCATGCCTTACCAGCACGCTGGTTGCACTCATGCCTTACCAGCACGCTGGTTGCACTCATGCCTTACCAGCACGCTGGTTGCACCTCACCAACACTAAGGGCGATGCTCGTGTCATTACCACCACGTTAATGGCGAGGCGGAGGCTGAGCACGAGGGGGTCCGAGTCCACTTCTGAGTCATCTACTCCCTCACCAGCGCGCTCCTGCCACCCTCGCCAGCACTAACGACAATGGTCCTCTCACCAGCACGCTGATGGCGAGGCGGAGGCTGAGCACGAGAGGATCCGAGTCGTCGCCTGCAAAGTCTGAGAGCAGCACGGCTGGGTATAGGTGCACCCCCACCGTGTACCTGGTGGGGTGGGAGGGAGGAGAAGGTGGGGGGGAGGAGAGGGGGAGGAGAATGTGGGGGAGGGGAGGTGGGGATGCACAAGTCGGAGGCTGAGCACGAGGGGGTCGGAGTCGTCTCCTGCAAAGTTCGACAGCAGCACTGCTGGGTAGAGATGCACTCCCACCATGTACCTGGGAGAGGGGGGGGAGAGCGGAGGGGGAAAAAGGTGCACCCCCACCATGTTGGACAATGAGGGACCAGCAAGCTGTGGAAAATCCCTTCCCACTCACCAGAACGCAAAGGTGCTAGCAAAGAGAGACATGACGGTGAACACAAAGGGCCATGCGATGGCGTCTGCTAGTCGCTGAATGCACGAGTGTTGCACTGGTGCTATCCCCTGCTGTGCGCCCTGATTCCCTCTCACCAAAACGCAAAGGTGGCAGCGGAGAGACTCATGATGGTGAACACGAACGGCCCTGCGATGGCGTCTGCTAGGCGCTGCACCGGTGCCGTGCGCTGCTGTGCATCCTCCACCCGCCGTGCCATCTCACACACGGCACAGCTTGCTCCTGTTGCTGTTGCTGACACCACTATAGGGCCCTCCTGTTGGGGGAACGTGGGTTCAAAATGGCAGGAGGGGAAGGCATGCAGGGAGAGGGGGATTGGGCTGCGGTGCATCCTCCACCCGCTGTGCCATCTCACACACGGCGCAGCTGGCGCCTGTTGCCGTTGCTGACACCACTATGGGCCCCTCCTGATGGGAATGGGAAGGAAATGGGGTGCTAGTACATCGTAAATGGGGGCATGTGCTGCTGTGCGACCTCCACCCACCTGCCGTGCCATATCACAGGCGCAGCTGGTGGCCATTGCTGAGACCACTATGGGATCCTCCTGATGGGAGAGAAGGGAAGGTAAGTGTACGGGAAGGGAGGCTTGGATAAGCTGTGCCTCTTCTACTTGCCAAGCCACTCACATGATGCACATCTGGTGGCCGTAGCTGTTGCTGTTGCACTCACAAAGTTACAAAACGCACTTGGCCCTTCTCTTTACAACATGTCCCTGCCACTCTCCCGCAACCACTCACCTAGTTGACGGTGCTAGCATGTTGGGCTTGGGCTTGAATGTTGGGCTTGGGCTTGAATGTCAGCAACTGTGGCTCCTCTGCATCTAGGCACTGTGGCCGCCTCTCCTGTCTGCAATGACTCGTGCCCCTACCTTACGTGCAGTAGACACTCACTTTGCCACTTGCCTCCACGCAACCACTCACCCAGTTGACGGTGCCAGCAGCAACAGTAGCTCCTCTACGCTTGGGCACTGTGGCCGCCTCTCCTGTCTGCAATGACTCGTCCACTGCACTGCGCCCACTCTCCACCACGCCCTGATGGGGGAAAGGGAGGAGGGTGGTGGGCGGAGGTGTGATCGAGTGTGCATCCACGGGACGATGTGACGTGTGTCAAATGAAATGACCATTCTCTCACTTGTGGTGCCGGGCACACCTCTATCTCTATGCACACCTCTATCTCTATGCACAGCCACCACTTGTTACTCACGTCAACACAGCCACGTCGGCACGCAGCCACTCACGTCCACAGGGATGACGTCACCAGGCAGCACCAGCACCCGATCTCCCGGGCGCACGTGATTGGCCGGCACCTGCACCCACGCCGCCATGCTCAGCGCCAGCCCCTCCCCTCCCTCCTCCTCACTCCCACTCTCCACCCCCCCTCCTGCCCCCTCACTCAAACCCCCACTCCCCACTCCAGAGGCACTCAGAGAGGCCAGCAGTCCATTTGTGCTCCCGCCTGCTTCCCCCCCTCCCCCCTGCTCACTGCCCCCAGTACTGTCGTCTTGCACTAGCAGTCGAGCCGTGGAGGGCAGTAGCGACTGTGCATGGGGATGGGGATGGGGATGCGGAGAGAGGTGAGGGGTTCAGAAGGGTGAGAGGGGTGAGGGGGGTGAGAGTGGTAAAAGGTCGTGTGAGATGCTCAAAACTATTAACAATGGGAAACAAAGATCAAGGCAACGAGAGAGGTGTCACCATGAGGGCATTGAGGTCGGAGGAGGCTTGCGCCCTGGCAGAGGCCTCTAGGGACCGACCCAGCAGCACCACCGCCAGCAGCATCACCTGGCACGTGGGGGGGAGGCATTGAGGGGAGCGAGAGAAAATTAAGTTGGGGATTGCATGCTTATGCATGCAACATGCTACGTGCCCCATGCCCCGTGCCCCATGCCCCGTGCTCCATGCCCCATGCCCCGTGCCCCATGGCGTGTGGTGTGTGCACATGCATGAATACGCATGCTCAGCTCAGTTTCCCGCATGCTACATGCCCCATTCCCGCGCAACGTACGCCTGTGCACGTGCCATGGCCACTCACAGGCTCATCAGTGAAGGAGGAGTCGAGGCCCAGGTCCGGGTACAGCTGTGCCGCCTGCACAGGTGGGGGGGGATGGATGCAAGGTGGGAAGAATGGAGGCGGAAGAAGAAGAAGATGGGAGGAAGTGGGGCTGGAAACCTAGGCCGAGGTCGGGCAGGGTGCAGCTGTGCCACCCACCTGCACTGTGGGAGACGGATGGAAGGGGGAGACAACAAAGTGGAAGGAGAAGAAGAAGACAGTGTGGGAAGAGGCTTGTGGGCGAGGATGGATTGGCGTGCAGAAAGGGCTCTGGGGGAGGGCAGTGGAGGAGCGGACACTGACCACACCAATGCACAAGGCAGCGAGGGAGGTGAGGCTCACGCGGGAGAGGGGGGGGAAGAGGAGGAAGGCGGATGGAGTAAGGGAGGTTTGTAGAGGAGGGGGGCACGGCACCTACCACCCCAATGAAGAAGGCAGCGAGGGAGGCGAGCCCCACGAGGGAGTTCATGTTGGGTGACCCACGCAGCAGCGCTTTCATGCCGTCCACAAGCAGGCCTGGGGAGAGGGGTTGTGGGGAAGGGGGGTGTGGTGTGGGGGAAGGGCGGGAGGAGGGGGAATAGTTAAGGAGCATCAACAAGCAGCGCCTTCATGCCGTCCAGCAGCAGGTCTGGGGAGAGGGGTTGTGGGGAAGGGGGGTGTGGGGGTGAAGGGCCACAGGAGAGGGGGTAGTGGCACGGCACGGGACATGAGAAGGGAGACCAAACCGAAATGGATGCGAAAACGAGTGGGCGATGCAGGAGTTGATGGGGAGGGGAAGAAGATGCCGCCCCATGTTTGGTTTCTGCGGAGGGGAAGAGCAGTAGCACAGGCACGGGACGCACGCAGCCCTGCAACAGCAGCAGCTCATGCAGTCGTCCTTCATGCCACCATGCCACCATGCCAGTGATGCCACTATACATACATCTACTACCAACCACTGCCAGAGTATCTACAGCCTACAGCCTACAGCCTACAGGGCAAATCAAGCACCCAGCATGCCACACACACACAGTACCTCTGGCGGGCCCCAGCAGAGCGACGGCAGCAATGGCGGAGCGTGCCCTCACATCGTCCAGCACCGCCATCCATGGGCCTGGCGTGGAAGAGGGGGAACAGACGAGTGGCAGTGGGGGAGAACGGAGGCACGCAGACAGGGGAATGCGGGCTTGAGGAATGTGCTTCAACAGCAGCAGCGTCACGGCAGCGATGGCCGACCGTGCTCTCATGTTGTCAAGCACTGCCATCCATGGGCCTGGCAGGGGAGAGATGGGGCAGACACATAGGTGGAGGGATGTGCATATAAGGAGTGCTATGTTGAGGCGCCTCAACAGCAGAGCGACGGCAGCGATGGCAGAGCGTGCTCTCACGTCGTCCAGCACCGCCATCCATGGGCCTGGTGGACAGGCAGGGCGGATGAGGGAGGCATGCAGACACGGAAGGAGGCAGGCAGGGGAGGAACGCAAGATCTTTGAGTGCAGAGACAACAACGAAATAAAAGCGAAAGAAAAGGAAAGATATGGGAACAGACAGGAGGTGTATGAATGTAGAAGTATGTACCGTGTGCAAGGGCGTGCAGCCCCATGCCGTGGAAAAGGTGTCCCACGTGGTGCGCGCAGCACAGCGCCGCCAGCGCGCAGGTGACTAATGAGCTGACCGTGCACCTGTGTATATGTATGGAGCAGCCTGTGTGTGCCCTACTTACCGTGTGCAAGGGCATGCAGCCCCATGCCATGAAAAAGGTGTCCCACGTGGTGCGCGCAGCACAGCGCCACCAGCGCGCAGGTGACTAATGAGCTGACCGTGCACCTGTGTATATGTATGGAGCAGCCTGTGTGTGCCCTACTTACCGTGTGCAAGGGCATGCAGCCCCATGCCATGAAAAAGGTGTCCCACGTGGTGTGCGCAGCACAGCGCCGCCAGCACGCCCGCCACCGCCACATCCACGCGCGCGCGCGCCACTGCGCGCTGCCTCCGCTCCGCCGCCTCCCTGCGCCGTGCCTCCGCTGGTGGGGGATGTGGCGGGGTGTGTGGGGGAGGGGGTGCCTAAACACGAGGGGGCGGATGGAGGAGAAGCGTGGAATGCGGGTGCACGTCCACGCGCGCACGCGCCACTGCGCGCTGCCTCCGCTCCGCCGCCTCCCTCCGCCGCGCCTCCGCTGGTGGGGGATGTGGCGGGGGGTTGGGGGGGAGAGAGCGATGGGAGACGATGGAGAAGGGACGAGGGAGGTGGACAAGCGAAGGGAGAGAGGGAGACGCTAGAGGAATGATGGGAAGCGAAGCGCCAAGTGGGGGGATAATGCTGAAGTCCTGTCTCTGTCTGTCATACCCCCCACCCCGATACCGTCTCCATCCCTCTCCTCTGCTCCCCTCCACATCGCTCCCCTCAACATCGCCCCCCTCCCCACTCTACCTACTTCGTCCGTCCCTACCTTCTTCGTCCGCCTCCCCCGCGCGCCGCACGGAGCAGGGGAACCCCGCGTCTTCCACCAGCTCCGCCAGCTCCGCGCGCAGCGCCTCAAGCTCCGCCGCCTCGTCGCCCGCCTTCGCAATAGCGGGGGGGAAAGAAGCGGTGGCGGAAGGAGCGGCGGAAGCGGAGGCGGAAGGGGAAGCGGAAGCCTCAGGCGCGCGGAGGGAGACGGTAACAGCGGCGGATTCGGTGACGAGATTGACGCCCGCGCTAATCACGCGCGGATGCTCCGACAGCACTTGGCGCACGGCGGCGGCGCATCCCCCGCACATCATCTCGCGCACGTCCAGCAGCACCACCGCCGACGTTTCCGCTTCCGCTGCTCGCCCCGCGCCACTTCCGCCAACCGCCGCCGATCGCGCATCTGCCGCGGCGGAGGTCGACGACTGCACTCCTGCTTTCGGCGCCGCAACTGCCGACGCGCGCACGGATTTCTGCGCGTTGGGGGAAGACGATGATTGGACTGTTGGGTGGCCGGCGCGAGGCTCGGCGCGCAACGGCACGGAACGGCTAGCGACGACGGCATGCTGGCGTGAGGTGCGGTCGCGTCGCGAGGGACGGTGTGCATGCGACAAATTCGAGGAGAGGAGTCTTAAGGAAGGATTGAAAGCTGCGAGTGAACGGCATATCCGACGCGGTTGCACAATGGGCGACGATATCGCGACCCGGGGATCGGAGATTGCGACAGTCGCGACGACCTGCACTGCGGCCATGGCGGGCGGGGTGATAAGAACGCAATGCACAGCTTGGAGCCGCAGTCGGCTGAAAATGGCGACTGACGGCTCCGTCGGAACCCTCACAGGAGCGGCACAAGAGAGGGATGGAAACAAAACTAGCAAATTGGCCAAATTACTTCCGTGAACTGTGTATTGATTGTGTCGCAGCAGCAAAAAGACCAGTGACAGTGAGTGATAGTGGAGTTGAAGGGGGGGGGGGGGGTGGCAAGAAATTGCGTAATGGCAATCATCGCAGGCATAAGCTGTTTTCTCTTGGGACAGGCGAAGAGATTGGATACATCGAAAGCCACGCGGCGTGATTTGAATGGTTGGAGGGGCCTGTGTGAGAGTGTGTGCGACTGGCAGCTCGATTCCCCTCATGCTGGTTCCTCATCCTCCAAGGCCAACCAATGCCAGCGTACGCGCAAGTTCCCCCCTCTCCCCCGAGTGGGACAGAGTTTATGGAAATTCACGCTTGGCGATGCCGCCTGGTGTATGAAACTGTTTTTTTGTTACGTCAGCTGTCAATAACGGGTATGATTTCCTTGGAACCCTTTCCCCTCTTTGTTGAGTGCAGCTCACGCAGAGCGACGCCAGCAAGGATCAAACGGGTATTCCCTAGATACCTCCGCGCTCTGACTCACTGCGCTTTCATTTTCAGCTTCGGAAATAGAGAGCATAGAAATAGCTTGTGCGATTGTGACCTCGTACAGCGTAGCTTGGGAATTCGTTTGGCCAGTTAAGTGACACAGAAGTCACTTTAGTATTCTCCATTGGCAGTGACGAACATCCGGAGCGTTCCTTGTTGGCTTGCGCGTGTGTCGTTTGATTTTGCTACTCACAATGGCCGATTCAGTAACCTTCGGATCCATCAGTCATGGCCAGATGTCGTTCCACAACTGGCTAATTCAATCGCGATACGGTACGTGGAAGTGATCGACTCCCTTGTCTCAGCAGACATCGGTAGACACTTAAATGTCAGAGTTCTTTTTGAAAGTACCCTTTGAAGCTTACACGTTTCGCCTCGCCTTAGCTGTTATGTTCGACTCAGATTGTATCCATTTCCGGCTCGCCAAGGTTCCCTGTTATTTCGTTCCTGTTCGGCCCCTCCCACCACTGGGCTCAGTGAACAACGAGGACGATGCGCAGGGGAGGCGGAGAAAGGGCAAGGCGCGCAGCACCAAGGGGGAAGAGCACGATCCGCGCAACGCGCAGGCGCATTCCCACGGTGTGATGTGTGGCATGGTTTGTTCACGTCTTCTAGTCGCATAACTGGTGCGGATAGCCGTGGCGTTGTTACTTGCTCCCATTTGGCCGGTTAAAGCAGTGCTGGTCGCACCTGGTCACCACGTGTCACATTCTCGCAACCCTCTTGAGCTGCAACAGCAGCCTTTGCCCAGCTCTCACTTACCCTCGTCTTAAATTCTGCCATTTCACGTTCCTCTCTTGTTCCCCCCACCCCGCTGCAGCCGTGATCGCCTCGTCGCTCATGCTACCACCAGACGCTCTGCCGCTCTCAGGCAAGGTACGACAAATTTGTTAGGCGCCTCAAAAGTCCCCGCTGCAGCCATGATCGCCTTGTCCCTCATGTTACCACCAGACGCTCTGCCGCTGTCAGGCAGGGTACGTCGCAGCCGCCAGCCAGGTAATCAGCTTATTAGGGACCGTTGTTTTTCTCCTTCTTTCACAAGGCCATCTTCTGGTCAGCCTGTGTTCCACTGCAGCTTCGTTGCTCCTGTCCCTCTCAGATTCCCTCTTTTTTTACTCTTCCCTGCCCAATCCTCCCTTTCCACTTTCCGCTCGCACTCATACTGACATCGTCCCCCCTCCCCACCTCCCCCTCTCTAAACCTTCCTCCCCCATCCTGACCTTCCTTTTTGGCCATGCTGCTTGCATCAGCGCAAGGCGAGGCGGTGGGTGAACGAGCGCCTGCTAAAGGACATGGCGGGGCCTCTTACTGGGCCAGACGTCACCTCGCTCTATGCGCCGCCACCCTGGGGTACGCACAACGTCCCCTCCCTCTGAGTGTTGCCGCCCTTGGGTAGGTTGTCGTAGCTGCCGTAGCGAGCGCCTGCTAAAGGACATGGCGGGGCCTCTTACTGGCCCGGACGTCACCTCGCTCTATGCGCCGCCGCCCTGGGGTAGGTTGCAAGCAAGGCGTGTTAGAGCAAACCCAACACCACCCGTTCTCTCCCGCTCCGCACATCTCCTCTTCGCCTCTTCCGATCACAACTCTCTCTCGTATCAGTCCCACATCTCTTGCACTTATCTCTCTTCCTTACATCACCCCTGTTCCTCCTACCACCTCCCTCGCAGGTGAGAAGACAGAGAGGCCAGTGTTGGAGAGGGTGTCAGACGTGGCGCTCGCCACGCCCTTTGAGGCGCCTCTGGGTGGCTCTGCCGTCCTCTCTTCCACTCTTCAACCCCTTTTTCCCCTGTTCCTCTCCCTCCTCGCATCATGTTTCCATGCAGGCGAGAAGACAGAGAGGCCAGTGTTGGAGAGGCTGTCAGACGTGGCACTCTCCACGCCCTTTGAGGCGCTCCTGGGTAGCTGTGTTCGTAGTACTGTCTAACCCCTTTCTCCTATTCCTTCTCGCATCATGTCTCCCTTGCAGGAGAGAAGACAGAGCGGCCAGTGTTGGAGAGGCTGTCAGATGTGGCGCTCTCCACGCCCTTTGAAGCCTTTGTGTGCCAGCAATACCTTGCAGGGGCTACTTTCAACAAGGTGCGTGCAGCACGACTGTTAGATAGAGGACCTCCTTTTGCCACACGGAATTTTGCCTTTTATCCAATGGTCTGTGGATGGGCGCGACGAGCTAGCTAATTTCCTCCTTGTGGTCACTCGCCTCACACCCCCCACCTGCGCACACAGCTGCCATCCCGCAAGGCCAGGAGCAAGCAGTCTCGGGAGCAGGCCAGCAGCGGCAACCAGCATTCAGCAGCAGCAGCAGGAGGGGGAGCAGCAGCGGTGGTGGCGGCATCGCAGGCAGCGTGGAGGCGGGTGCCGGAGGCAGCGAGAGGGGCCATGCGGCGCGCTGCAGGCTGGGTGGTGGTGGGGACTGTTGAGGTGAGGTCGGGCAGTTAGTGTGTGATGTGTGATTGTATCTAGGCCCATGTGTGTGTTGTGCGACTGGTCATCTGATCCCTCTTGCTGACCCCACCCACTGGTCCCTCCCGCTCCCTCAGGCTCTTCTGGTGGCATTCCTGCACCCGCCACCTGCTGCCACTGCTGCCACCACTGGCGCGACGAGCAGCCAAGTGGACGCATCTTGCAGTGGCAGGGGAGAGCTGAGCAGTGAGGATGGCAGGGGGGACGAGAGCAGCATTGTGTCGTGTGCAGCAGGCGTTGCTGGGGGTGATGGAGCAGAGGGGCAACAGCAACAGATGGAGGAGGCACAGGAGGAGGGTGGAGAGGGGTCGCAGGAGGGGGGTGAGAGTGGGAGTGGAAACACGATTGGGAGTGTGTTGCCGGAGTGGTGTGTGCAGGCAGCATGGAGCGACGTGGAGAGTGCTTTGGAGGCACATGGAGGGAAGCTGAAGGGGGGCGTGAGCGGTGGTGCAGGTGCAGCAGACGGGGAGGCGGACGGCATGGGGAGGGGAGGGGAGGGAAGGCAGGTGCTGGTGTTTGCTGCAGACGATGCCTTCCTCAGACTGTTGCTGCACGGCATGTGCCAGGTGGGTGGCTGGCACGTGCTGTTGATGCCTATGGTGTGTGGAGCATGGCATGGCATGTGCCAGGTGCTGATTTTTGCTGCAAATTACGCCTTTCTTAGACTGCCTCATGTGCCAGGTGGGTAGTGCACTGTGCATGCTGTGTGCCAGGTAGGAATTGCATGGTGTGTGCCAAGTGGACGGCCAAGGGTGTGCTGCACTTCCATCCTTCTCAATTTCACTCCATTTGAATATGCTGCACTCCTTACATCAACATCCCCACTCTCGCCATCTCACCGCTCTCCGCTCACCCTTTCCTGCCATTTTCCTCCTCCTCTCTGCCCCACATTCCCCCTCCCCGAATACCAGTTCCATGGAATGCGGTCACTCTCCCTTCCTGCAGCCAGCCTACCCACCCACCTCCTCCTCTCCTTCCCGCCCCACCTCGCGCCCTCCACTCTCACTGTCGCCTGGCGTCCCCTCCCCCTACCCTCTCAGCCATCCCCCTCTGCCTCCCCATCACAACCGCAAGAGCTGCCGCTCCCAGCACCTCAAGAGAGTAACGTTGTTACAGCAGACCACCCTGCCTGGCCCTCGCATCACATTCGCCTGCACCACATACTGCCTGCCTGCCCCCTGCCTATCCCCACATAGTACCTGACTCTTTTCAGAGTTATGAACTTGAAATGCTGCACTGTACTGTACTGCTCTGAATCGCTGTTTTCTTCTGTTTCACATATGCTGCTGTGTTCTGTGGCATACCGGTACTCTGTATGCATTGAGGCTGTGCCATAGGCTTAGGTCCATCTGTGCGAGTCTAACCAGAGCCATGGAAAGGGTTCCTGTACTTGCCAGCAATAGCACACACGTAGCTGAGCTGTTAACTGGAAGTTCACATTCCCAACAGACTGGCCTCAGGGTAGCTGCAGTAGCACTTCAGGATAGATAGGGTAGCATGGTAGCACCTGCCCTGAAGCCACTGGTACAGGTAAATGACAATTTGTGTTGGGCCTACTTGGTGCAGCATCAAACTCCTATACTATTGACCATTGAACAGCTGACAGATTGTGAAAGTTGAGACATTGAGAAAGGAGGCAGGAGTTTGGAGATGGGCAATGGGAGATGGGAGAGGAGTTGGAGAGTAGAAAGACAGCAGGCATGTGTCATATGGGAGAAAAGGGCTGAACAGGGTAGGTGAGGGACACGAGATATGGGTAGAGAGGGGGTGGGTGAAGGGTGGGAGGAGAGACGTGGGATCAAAGGTGTGTACTGTGGAAGGGGATAGGTAGGGATGGACGGAAGCGAAAGGTGAGGAAGTAAGGAATTAAAATATAGCTTTCGATATTAGTAACTTTGCTTCAATAACATGGGGGTGTAGCTCACATGGTAGAGCGATCGCTTCGCATGCGATAGGTAAGGGGATCGATACCCCTCACCTCCAATCCTTATCCCTTTCGCCACATTTCTTCCTCTCTTTTTTTCCTTTTTGCCTCCCGCATGCCATTGCCTTCATCGCCACCAGCATTTGCTGCGCGCTCGACCGCGCAATCATAGCGGCAGTCGCGCGACATTCTTGCAGCCATGGACCCGCCGCGCCCAGTGTGGTTAGACTGTGATCCAGGTGCGAGGGGGGGCGGGTGGGGAGGGGGATTGGTTAATATTTTCAGGAACAGCCTTCAGTCCCCGTGGCAGTGGCCGTCCGCAGCCAGTCTCGCAGCCATGGACCCGCCGCGACCGGTGTGGTTAGACTGTGATCCAGGTGCGAGGGATGGTCCGTCGACCTCATTCTTGCAGCATTCTCTTTGCTGTCCGCGGCGCATTCGCTTTCTCCCCTCTTCCCCCCCTCCCCGCCCTCCCCCCCCTCCGTCGACCGCATTCTCTTTGCTGTCCGCAGCGCATCCGCATCCGCTATCATGCCGCGCCGTGGTTACGAGCTCATTGTGGTGTCCGTGCGGCACGTGTCTTTCTGCGGAGATAGCGTTCTGCTGACTCATTGCATGCAATGCTGACGTCATTCTGACTCATTGCAGGCCACGATGACGCCATGGCTATCATTCTTGCCGCCCACACCCCCTCGCTGCACCTGCTTGGCATCAGCACTGTTCACGGCAACCAATCAGTGAGTGCCATTTGTAAAAGAGACCCGTCTGCGCTTCTTCTGGCTTTAACTGCCCTACTCTGTCCGCTTCAATCCGTCCCGCAACATTGCGCCAAGTCCCAATGCAGACCCTCACCCCAATCCCACATTCTGCCGCCCACCCTGCAACCCCCAATCGTGCCAGGTGCAGAAAGTGACAATCAATGCGAGGCGAGTGCTGCTGATGTGCGCGCGACCCGACATTCGTGAGTGCTGTTGGGGCTGGTTCCGATCTGGGCGGCTGCAGGGCGCCTGTCGGGCGCCTGTCGGGCACCTGTCGGGCGGCTGGGGCGCCTCTCTCTAGGGGCGCCTCTCATGCTGCTTGCCTCCTTGCTCCTCTCATGCTGCTTGCCTCCTTGCTCCTCTCATGCTGCTTGCCTCCTTGCTCCTCTCATGCTGCTTGCCTCCTTGCTCCTCTCATGCTGCTTGCCTCCTTGCTCCTCTCATGCTGCTTGCCTCCTTGCTCCTCTCATGCTGCTTGCCTCCTTGCTCCTCTCATGCTGCTTGCCTCCTTGCTCCTCTCATGCTGCTTGCCTCCTTGCTCCTCTCATGCTGCTTGCCTCCTTGCTCCTCTCATGCTGCTTGCCTCCTTGCTCCTCTCATGCTGCTTGCCTCCTTGCTCCTCTCATGCTGCTTGCCTCCTTGCTCCTCTCATGCTGCTTGCCTCCTTGCTCCTCTCATGCTGCTTGCCTCCTTGCTCCTCTCATGCTGCTTGCCTCCTTGCTCCTCTCATGCTGCTTGCCTCCTTGCTCCTCTCATGCTGCTTGCCTCCTTGCTCCTCTCATGCTGCTTGCCTCCTTGCTCCTCTCATGCTGCTTGCCTCCTTGCTCCTCTCATGCTGCTTGCCTCCTTGCTCCTCTCATGCTGCTTGCCTCCTTGCTCCTCTCATGCTGCTTGCCTCCTTGCTCCTCTCATGCTGCTTGCCTCCTTGCTCCTCTCATGCTGCTTGCCTCCTTGCTCCTCTCATGCTGCTTGCCTCCTTGCTCCTCTCATGCTGCTTGCCTCCTTGCTCCTCTCATGCTGCTTGCCTCCTTGCTCCTCTCATGCTGCTTGCCTCCTTGCTCCTCTCATGCTGCTTGCCTCCTTGCTCCTCTCATGCTGCTTGCCTCCTTGCTCCTCTCATGCTGCTTGCCTCCTTGCTCCTCTCATGCTGCTTGCCTCCTTGCTCCTCTCATGCTGCTTGCCTCCTTGCTCCTCTCATGCTGCTTGCCTCCTTGCTCCTCTCATGCTGCTTGCCTCCTTGCTCCTCTCATGCTGCTTGCCTCCTTGCTCCTCTCATGCTGCTTGCCTCCTTGCTCCCTGCCTCTTCACCACCAGCTGTGTTCTGCGGGCAAGCATCCCCCTTCATGCGCGCCAGGCAGCACTGTGCTGAGATCCACGGGGAGTCGGGGCTGGATGGGCCTGACTGGGGGGAGGGGGAGGCGCAGGGGGAGGGGGAACGGGGGAAGGGAAAGGGAGGAGGAGCAGGGACGAAGGAGGACGGAGAGGAGAAAGGCGAGAGGGAGGAAACCCCACTATGGGGGACGGCAGAAGAGGAGGCAGAGGAAGTAGCAGAAATCAAGAGGGAAACGGGTGGGGGTGGGGTGGAGGGGCGCAAAGAAGGGGACGAAGATGGGGATGCGAGGGGAGAAGGGGTGGGGGAGGAGGAAGATGTACCGACAGTGACTCACATGTATCGCCACATTCGACAAGCGTTTCTAGAGAGGCAGGCAGCGTTGAGAGAGTGGAAACAGGGGACAGAGCCAAGTGACTCGAACAGCAAGCAAGGGGCAACGAAGGCAGGGGCAGCTGAGGATGGGCCTTTAGCCAAGAGGAGAAGGGAGGGGGAAAATGATCATGTGATAGGGGTGAATGGGGCAATGGCAGATGGCGCAATCACAGACCGGGCAGTGGCAGACGGGGCAGCGGTGGTAAACGGTGGTCCCCCAGCTGCTGACACAGCGCATGCTGTCGCTGCTGCTGCTGTTGGCACCGCTGTTGGCACTGCTGTTGGTACCACCGCTGCAGTTGTGGGAGGGGAGAAGAAGGAAATCTGGGAGGGGCGGAGGGAGAGGGTGGCGTTGGTGTGCACAGGCAGTCTCACCAACGCTGCTCTGCTGCTCACCGTGCACCCCCTGGTCAAGAGCATGATCGAGGTGAGTGGGCATTCTGAGTGGTGTGTTGCGGTGAGTGGGTGTTGTGTGGTGAGTGGTGAGCGCCTGATGCGGGGTGTCTGGTTGGGTCAGCAATTGCGGAAGGCTCTCAACCTCTGCTGCTCACAGTGCACCCCCAGGACAAGCGCATGATCGAGGTGAGTGGGTGGTGTGAGGTGGTGAGTGCACAGTGTGTAGGTGGATTAGCTGCCATGGATGTGCCGAATCGTGGCAGGGGACGAGGGAGAGGATGGCTCTGCTGTGCACACTGCTTTCCCGGGTCAGGGGATTCCGGCCGAGGGGTTGAGAGGGGTTGAGAGGCTGTGGTCATGCCAAGCGGGCCTCATTGCAGATGTGAGGACCAAGTTCGGTTGTTCCTAAATGCATGCTTCCTTCCTACCTCTTTTTGAGTCGACTCAAAACCAAGTTCGGTTGTTCCTAAATGCATGCTTCCTTCCTTTGATTTCCTCCCTCTTCCATTTATATTCCTCTCGCCTCTCTGCCCCCCTTTTTCCTCCCTCTCCCCTCTCCCCTACCCCCTCCCGCCCCATGCGAACATCTTCACGTCCTTCTCACATCTCCCGTCACACGCCAACACGAACAACTCACCAAGATTGTCCTAATGGGTGCGTGCCACCCACTGCAACCGCTTGTCACCGCACTGTTTGTTTCCCCTTGTACTCTTCGCCTTCATGACTCTTCCTCCCCTGATCTGCCTTATTCCTCCTGCCCCATTCTCTTCTTCCTGTTTCCATGTCTCTCTCCTCCTCTTTACTTCCTCGCTACCTCCTTCCCCTTACAACTCTCCCATCCCATCCCCCTCTTCTCTCTTCTCGCCCTTCACTCCTCACCCTCATCGCCCCACAGGAGGAGCTCTTGGTCTCGGCAACACTGGTACGACTCCAGTGGTTTAGTTTAGGGTGCCTAGGCCTCCTTGCACCACTTTGCACCTCCTTGCACCTCCTTGCACCGGGCGCCTTGCACCTCTTCGCATCTCCGTGCATCTCCTTACACCTTTATCCTTCACCCACATACTCTGTTTAGTCACTCTGATTGGCTCCATTCACCTCTCATTGCATTCCTTGTTTTCGAATCAGAGGCATCACTTTTGCTTTCAGAGATGCCTCAAACCAGACTACTGCCTTTCTCTTGTTCCCGCATTTTCCTCTCTCTTGTTCCCGCATTTTCCTCTCTCTTGTTCTTGCATCCGCATATCCTCATCTTCTTCTCGCCCACATCACATTCCTGGCAGGCCCAGTAGCGGAGTTCAACATCCAGGTGCGGTGGAGTGGGGTGGGGTGGGGTGGGATGCAGTGGGGATGGTACTGCTGGGGTGGAGAGGAGGTGGTGCTGGTATCATGCGCACTGATGGACTTCAAATCGTGTCTCCCTCTTGCCATGCGTTCCTGGCAGGCCCAGTAGCCGAGTTCAACATCCAGGAGCGATGCAGGGGGGGTGGAATGTAGGGGGGAGGGGGGGGGAGGAAAGGGGGGTGGTGGGATTCATGTTGCTTTCCCAATATCAAAATGCAATCCACTGCGGCCCTACCCTCTCTCTGCCCTCCACTTCCCTCCTATCCCTTCTCCTTCTCGTCACCTCTCTTTCCTCTTCTACCGGTTTCAATCGCTCTCGTCACACTTCGATTTCCCCACCTTCTTCATTTGCCTTTCCCCTCATCCCCTCCCCTCCTCCCTTCCTCTCCTCCGCTCCTTTCCTCCCCTCCCACCCTCCCCTCCTCGCCTCTCCCCTTCCAGTGTGATCCAGAGGCAGCCTCCATTGTGTTCAACAGCGGCTGCCCGCTCACAATGGTACCCCTAGAGGTATGCAGAACCGCACTCACAGCACTGTCCTCATTCCCACACTCAGTCACACCCGTCTTGATACGCATACCAGGGTACAAAGGGACACCCAGAATGTGTTCAAAAATGGCTGCCCGCTCATAATGATGCCTCTGGATATACGCAGAACCACATGAACGGTGCAGTCCCAATACCCATACACACCCACATCTATATCCAAAGGAGCAGCCTCCAGTGTGTTCAACAGCGGTTGCCCACTTACCATGGTACCACTGGAGGTGAATTCTTCCTCCTTATGTCCCCTCCCTGTCAACATGCCATTTTAACTATCATGATCTGCCCTCTCGCACTGCTCCACTTCAGCCTGCTTCCATCTCCCTTCCCTCCATCTCACCACCCTCTGCCTTACCCCTCGTGTCACTCACACGGCCGTATCTACCCTCCAGCCGATGCTCATGTCCCGTCGCCTCTTTTAATTGGGACCTCTGCCCCGGCCGTTACCTCCCCCTTCAGGTCACGCACACCGCCCTGCTCTACCCGTCAGTTGCTGCTCGCATCTCCTCTTGTCCTCCTCACTGCCCCATCTGCGCCCCCTCCTCCACTCATGCCGCTCCCCCTCCTTCTTTAGCAACCATATATAACTTTGCTGCTGATGCCACCCAAAGCACTGATGGTTCTGCTACGGCTGTAGCCGCTACAACTGCTGACGCCAGCCTCACAGCTCCCAATGCCACTGCTGGCAGCTGCCTGGGCTGCTATCGGGGGAAAAAACTCCGGCAAACAGGTGAGCTTTGAGTGGACTAAACATATGCTGCTACAGCCGCCGGTGATTCTGCCATCCAACTCACACGCCATGCTGCCAGTGCTGGCGGGTGCCTTGAATGCGATAGGGGGAGAAAACTCCGACAAACAGGTGAGTGACACGTGGCTTGGCGCGACTATACGCCCATCGAGTGCCGAGTGAACAAAAAGCTTTGCGTTCTGCTGTTGGGACTTGCTTTGCTTTCGGAACGAATCTTGCAGTCCGTGCCTTGATGCACTTGTTCCCTCATACGTACCCCTCCATGTGTTGGGCTTTCAACACCTTCCACCTCTACACTCCTTTTGAGGCGCCTCAAAAGGCTTTCAACACCTTCCACCTCTACACTCCTCTCCCCTCTGCCTACCCTCTCCCATTCTCTCCCTCCAACCCCTTTCCCACATCGCAGTCTCTGCGTTGATGCATTTCTTCGCCCGCACATACCTTGAAGTGTTTGGTTTCCAGCACCCACCCCTACATGACCCCTGCGCTCTCGCCTTCGTCATTGCCCCGTCTCTCTTCAAGGTACGGTCCTACCAGCCTCCACTCAGGTTTCCACCATCTCTCCACCATGTTTCCGCCATGTCTCCACCACTCCCTCCTGCACGACCCTGTGCTCTCGCCTTCGTGATCGCCTTGTCTCTCTTCAAGATAAAGCCCCATAATCCAGTGTCTTACCTGCATTCCCTCCCTTCACACCAACTGACCGCACATGTCTCAGTGTTCCGTGTTCCCACATGTTCCATATCACTCCCCCTGTGCTCCTCACTCCCCTGCGCTCATCACTCACCCATTCACACACCCCCCATCGCTCTGCCACCTCCCTGTCTGCAGACGGAGCACCTCCGAGTCGACATTGAGACCAAGAGTGAGGTGAGCCACTCCTTACTACTCTTCACCGCTCCTCACCGCTCCTCACTGCTTCTCGCCCCATTTCACCGTTCCAAGCCCCTTGCTTTTGTGACCTTCCTGATCGCCTCAACATGCAAAGGAAAGCACATCTGCACATCACATCAGTTGTCAGCAGGCCAGAGACAGTGTGTGACGTGTGATTTCACAGCTGCACTGCATTCTCCCCACTCTTCCCTCCCCCTTTCCGATAGCACAGCTGCTCTGCCCTCTCCCCACTCTCGCCCTCCCCCTCTCCCTATCCACTCCCACCAAGTCCGTCCCCAAACCCCCCCAGCTGTCAGCATGGCAAACAGTGTGTGACGTGGATGGCTTCTGCTGCACTCCACTCTCCCCACTCATGGCCTTCCTCCCTCTCTTTCCCCCTCAAACCATGTCCATCCCACCTCCCTCCAGCTCTCAGCAGGGCAGACGGTGTGTGACGTGTGGAGGCAAAGCAAGCGGCCAGCCAACGCACATGTGGCTCGCAGCATGCACGTGGATGGATTCTGGGACCTTATGGTTGCTGCCATTGACCGTGCTGCCACTGCTGCTGCTGCCACCGCTGCTCATAGTGCTCATGCTGCTGCTGCCGCTGCTAATCTCCACAGCCATTGAGCAGTGTCGCTGCACTAGCAACAGCAAATGAAATTAGTTGTTCTGGTCGTTCTGGACTTCACATCACAACTGAGCAAGTGCTCACTCAGCTGTGCTGCTGCAGCAGTGTCAGCACATGGAATTGCTCAGGTCGTTTCGGTCTTCATACCATAACTGAGCAAGTACCTACTGATCGAAACACGATTCTAGCTTTAGCAGCACCCTTCTACTCTCAAATGGTCCGTTGTATTAATTCAGCAGGGGTACGGACATGCAGTTCTATCCATGATAACCTCAATCCCATAAGCCCATCAACTCACCCTTCTTCCCCTCCCCTCCCACCTGAGTGACCCTCTTGCCCTCCAGCCCTTCTCTCTCTCTCTCTCTCTCTCTCTCTCTCTCTCTCTCTCTCTCTCTCTCTCTCTCTCTCTCTCTCTCTCTCTCTCTCTCTCTCTCTCTCTCTCTCTCTCTCTCTCTCTCTCTCTCCTCTCTCTCTCTCTCTCTCTCCTCTCTCTCTCTCTCTCTCTCTCTCTCTCTCTCTCTCTCTCTCTCTCTCTCCTCTCTTCTTCCACTCTCTCTCTCTCTCTCTCTCTCTCTCTCTCTCTTCTCTCTCTCTCTCTCTCTCTTCTCTCTCTCTCTCTCTCTCTCTCTCTCTCTCTCTCTCTCTCTCTCTCTCTCTCTCTCTCTCTCCTCTCTCTCTCTCTCTCTCTCTCTCTCTCTCTCTCTCTCTCTCTCTCTCTCTCTCTCTCTCTCTCTCTCTCTCTCTCTCTCTCTCTCTCTCTCTCTCTCTCTCTCTCTCTCTTCTCTCTCTCTCTCTCTCTCTCTCTCTCTCTCTCTCTCTCTCTCTCTCTCTCTCTCTCTCTCTCTCTCTCTCTCTCTCTCTCTCTCTCTCTCTCTCTCTCTCTCTCTCTCTCTCTCTCTCTCTCTCTCTCTCTCTCTCTCTCTCTCTCTCTCTCTCTCCTCTCTCTCTCTCTCTCTCTCTCTCTCTCTCTCTCTCTCTCTCTCTCTCTCTCTCTCTCTCTCTCTCTCTCTCTCTCTCTCTCTCTCTCTCTCTCTCTCTCTCTCTCTCTCTCTCTCTCTCTCTCTCTCTCTCTCTCTCTCTCTCTCTCTCTCTCTCTCTCTCTCTCTCTCTCTCTCTCTCTCTCTCTCTCTCTCTCTCTCTCTCTCTCTCTCTCTCTCTCTCTCTCTCTCTCTCTCTCTCTCTCTCTCTCTCTCTCTCTCTCTCTCTCTCTCTCTCTCTCTCTCTCTCTCTCTCTCTCTCTCTCTCTCTCTCTCTCTCTCTCTCTCTCTCTCTCTCTCTCTCTCTCTCTCCTCTCTCTCTCTCTCTCTCTCTCTCTCTCTCTCTCTCTCTCTCTCTCTCTCTCTCTCTCTCTCTCTCTCCACCATCGTATGTTATGGATTACATGCGTACGTACATTTGTTGCTTGCTGCTGCTGACCACCTCCATATTTAATGCATACACTACAACAAGCCTGCATTCGCTTTCACCTCCATGCGGTGTTCGGTGTGACGAGGTTTTTGTGGCCCGTGTAGTCACCACTCGGATCCCGTCATCGTCAGGCAGAAACATAGTCAGGCAGAAACATAGTCAGGCAGAAACATAGTCAGGCAGAAACATAGTCAGGCAGAAACATAGTCAGGCAGAAACATAGTCAGGCAGAAACATAGTCAGGCAGAAACATAGTCAGGCAGAAACATAGTCAGGCAGAAACATAGTCAGGCAGAAACATAGTCAGGCAGAAACATAGTCAGGCAGAAACATAGTCAGGCAGAAACATAGTCAGGCAGAAACATAGTCAGGCAGAAACATAGTCAGGCAGAAACATAGTCAGGCAGAAACATAGTCAGGCAGAAACATAGTCAGGCAGAAACATAGTCAGGCAGAAACATAGTCAGGCAGAAACATAGTCAGGCAGAAACATAGTCAGGCAGAAACATAGTCAGGCAGAAACATAGTCAGGCACGAAACAGTCTGGCAGGTAGGGCTCTCATTATCAGACCAATTTGGTCTGATGGTCTGAGTTTAAGACTTGATTTTTTGTATTCATCTGCTTCCTAAGAATCTGTGTTTGTTCTCATCTGATCAGTAAGATAAGCGTTTTAGGTTCGTATGATTTTTCCAGACGTGTAGAATTCTTAATCTGAATATACAGATGTCGAGTTCGGTTTCGTCTGAAACCGACATCTTGACCCACTAGGCCATATGCCTAGTGGACCAGAGGATAGGACCACAGGTACGGCCATTTGCTGCTCTGTAACAGCACGCGCATTCAATACGCGTGTCTTATAGCAGCCTCGCTGTCATGTAACTGCGGCATATGCTGCCAGGAGTGTGTCGTGTGGCTGGCTGTCGGCGCCGACGCCAGCCACAGCCACGGCAACGCGTTGCCCCGTTGTGCCACTGCTAGCGCATTTGCATTTCCTAGACGTCACGCAACATTGCACTGTGGTCGTAGTGGCCCCCGCTCCCAACACGCAGCGCCTTTCGGTTCTGAATGCAGTGCAGGGTGATGGGGTTTCATGCAGCTGGGTGAGGCTTGAAAACAAGCCTGTTTCTCCTGCTTGTCCTCAACTCTCACTCAGCCGAGCATGGACCGTATCCCTCCCAGCATCTGATTTCCCAGCGTTTAGACTATGGCCGTCCTTGCCGGCGGACCATGCGATGCGGAGCCCGTGCTTACGGCGTTAGACTTCCTAACGCAGGGCAAGCAGATCGCTTCTGTTGCCCCACCGATTGCGTCGACCTCTACTGCGGTCCCTTTGCCCGAAGGCGATGCTCCAATCTCGGTAAATGGCGATCATTCCGTGCCATCAACCGCTACCCCTACTACGCTAGTAACTTCTCGAATGCCAGACAATGGTGAAAATAAGAGCATTCCTGCAGTATCTGTCGCTACTACCTCTCTCAGTGCTAACCCCGTCTTGCCCGAAAGATCATTAAAGAAGCGGTATAGCAGCGGGTTCTTACCGTCGGACGTCCGGGCGGTCCGACTCAGCCAGCACCGTCAGTTCTTCCGCCTCCCGCAGAGCCTGCACCCACGAATGAAGACTTCGAAGATCCGAAAGGCAAGCAGCTGTCGGTTGAGGAGCTTCAGTTGAAGTGCAAGCAGCAGTGGCAGCGGTATTTTCCTTGGCTTCTCATCTCCGAAAACAAGGCCGGCCGCCCCTGCATGCGCTGCAGCGTCTGCATGGTCTTCGGGGACCCCAACTACAAATACGGGCACAACGGCGATGGTGGCATCGACATTAAGAAGCAAACGATGTGCAAGCATCACCATAGTCTGAAACATGAGGCCACGGTCTTGAGGAAGGAGGAGCGCGACGGTGTGAAGAAAGTGCAGAAGTCCATTGCTGACTTCCACCGGGGGAACGATGATGTCGAGCGTCTTGCTCGCTTGATGGCTATCGTGTTATTCATTTGCAAGTCTGATGCTCCCATTGTGCTATTCGTGGCTTTGGTTCAGTTCATGGCAGAGCAGGGGACTTCGGATCTGCCCCTGAAGGAGAACGGGACGTACTACAGCGAGTAAGTGTCCCGTTCAAAACTTCTGCTTTGTGTTCAGTGGGTTTACAATACTATCGAGTTTTAACCCCGCGTGTCTCAGGTATGGCTTCGCACAACTGGTCAAAACCATGGTGTGCTACCTGAAGTCCCGCTAGCTGAAACACATCCGCGATAGTCCGTACCTTGGCACCCAGTTGGACGAGAGCACCGACCGACGGCGGGGGAAACACATGATCGTCTATTTGACGTTCATGCGTGACAACGCTCCCGTCACTGAGTTCTTCGCCTTGCTCACTGTGGATCAGTGTGACGCCGCATCACTCACTACAGTTCTCTTGACTCATCTGGAGAGTACCGGCATCGACCTGATGCGCCTCACCGGTATGAGCACTGATGGTGCTTCTGTCATGCTTGGACAGCACAACGGAGTCACCGCGCGCCTCAAAGTCAAGGTTCCTCATCTTGTGTCGTCCCACTGCATCGCGCACAGGTAAGTTTGTTGCTTCGTGTTTTCCATACTTTTATTTTTTTAATACCCGTGCTAATGTTACATTCCATTGTCTTGCAGGGAGGCCTTGGCGGCCAAGGATGCTGCCGCCGCGCATTCGGACTTCAACATCGTGGACAAGGTGGTCCGTGCCGTAGCAAAGAACCTTGGTCGCTCTTCTGTTAATCACGCCCGCTTTCAAGAGCTTCAGGAGGTCATTTGCCAGACCCACCTCGAAGTCCAAGGCATCAAGGACGTCCGATGGTTGTCTCGTAGTGACGCCATCCAGCGCCTGGCGAAGGTGTTTCTGCGGAGATAACTGCAGCAACGGGAGCTAGGCTGCGGGCTAGGCACGTGTGCTCGTGTGATCTCTGCGTTCGTTAGTCCTTAGTCGTTTTCCTTGTGCACACACTACTTGCTAGTTCACGGGGAAAATTGGCAAGAGTTTCACTAGGAAAAGTTCAGAACAATTGGTACAATGAAGTTGGCATAGCAAGACTACATCAGAGCAAGCATTCAGGTCGGCCAACTGCCAGCGCAGCTTGGTCGACCGCGTTCCAGCACGACTTGGTCGACCGCGCTCCAGCAAGGCAAGGTCGACAGCGTTGCTCACGCAGGACAGCAGTGCACCCTGCTTCACAGTTGTGCGCAGATGATTGGCGCGCAGGGTCTCGTCACCTGCACGACGCACACACCACGTCAACCTTGAGCTGGTGACTGCCTCTGATCCGTCACGACGACCTCGGGATACCAGCACCGAGATCAGGCTCGCCAACTCCGCCTGGGCGACCGCCACACTCCTCTGCAGCACTTCGTTACCCAGGTAACCTGGTCGACTAGGGAACCACGTCGACCAGCAGCTCCCGTACGTGCCCGTCGACCTCCCAGGTCGACGACCACCTCCACGTCAACCTCCTCCAGGTCGACGTCCCCTCTGGTCGACCAACTCCACGTCGACCAGTACTCCTGGTCGACCTGCTCCTCGTCGACCAGCATAGTCGTCGACCGACCACCCACGTCGGCCACCCGAAGTTGGCGCCACGAAGTTGACGCCCCGCTACTCGACGCCCAACTGCTCGGCGTCCGGAGTCGAGGTCGACGTCGGCCCCTCCTTCGTCGACCACCAGGTCCGTTAGCCGACTGCCGAAGTCGGCTTCGCCAGGTTGACGTCACCAAGTTGACGTCCTCTGCAGGTCGACTCCCAAGTCGACCTCCCTGAAGTCGGCGCCACCCTAAAGTCGGCGCCAGGGCAGTGGTCCCCCGTGCAGATCGACCTCCTCGTCGACCAGCTCACCCACTGCTGCAGGTTGGCTGCTCCCCTCACACCCGACCACGAAGTCGGCTCTGCCCAAGTGAGGACGGGGCCAATACCCAACTCCCGTTGACAGTTTCCTGCAGCAGTGATGGTCTAGCACGAGACAAACAAGAAGATGTATCAAGTCGTAACGAGCTACAAATTCCATTTCCTGCTCTTCTTCCTTGCTGATGTCCTGAAGGAGCTCAACCTTCTCAGCTTGAAGTTTCAGCGGCGCCAGGTGAGCAGGTTTCTCGACTTATTGTTTGTTGTTTTACTATACATTTAATAACATCCTGCCGTTGCAACCCCGTTTACAGGTCGACGCAGCCCATGTGCTGCCGATGGTGCACAACACCACCTTACTGCTGCGCACACGTTACCTCGACTGCGACGACGCGAATTTTGGCCAGGGTGGAGACGCGTTGGGCCCGTTCCTCGTCAAGAACGCATCAGGGGAGTTCCGTGAGGTCCTCGTTGCTGGCACAGCTTCCGACGACACATCGGTCAGCCATCGATACCGACTGCACGAGGAGAAAATCAAGGGGCAGAAAAGTGGTGTGGACCCAACGTTTGCCAGACCCACCTCGAAGTCCAAGGCATCAAGGACGTCCGATGGTTGTCTCGTAGTGACGCCATCCAGCGCCTGGTGAAGGTGTTTCTGCGAAGATAACTGCAGCAACGGGAGCTAGGCTGCGGGCTAGGCACGTGTGCTCGTGTGATCTCTGCGTTCGTTAGTCCTTAGTCGTTTTCCTTGTGCACACACTACTTGCTAGTTCACGGGGAAAATTGGCAAGAGTTTCACTAGGAAAAGTTCAGAACAATTGGTACAATGAAGTTGGCATAGCAAGACTACATCAGAGCAAGCATTCAGGTCGGCCAACTGCCAGCGCAGCTTGGTCGACCGCGTTTTAGCACGACTTGGTCGACCGCGCTCCAGCAAGGCAAGGTCGACAGCGTTGCTCACGCAGGACAGCAGTGTACCCTGCTTCACAGTTGTGCGCAGATGATTGGCGCGCAGGGTCTCGTCACCTGCACGGCGCACACACCACGTCAACCTTGAGCTGGTGACTGCCTCTGATCCGTCACGACGACCTCGG